GTTAGGAAGAAAGTAATTATTGGAGCAAATAACGGTAAATTTGAATTCACTAAACCCCATTGCTATCACAGATGAGCATGACAATTTAGTTTTATCAAAATCAGCGAAACGAATTTTGAACAATCAATGAAACATCGATTCCTTTCTGAAAAATTTGGCTCCCTGTATCTCTAAACGAAGCAATAAGTTAGGATATGGGTGATATAATATTTAAAGGAAACCAAAATGTCTCTCTAAGAATAAATAAATAACATATTCTAGAAATATGAACATACATGTAGAACATGCCTAGAATATACGAACAATACATTTTATGATCATTCTTGAATAACATTAATGGAATATAACGGAATGAAAATTCTCGTAAAACATTTTACGGACATTCAGAACATCCTCATCATATTCTATGAACATTCTTCGGAATATTCTGAAAGAGGTATGTTGTGAACGTTGTGAAAACATTCATATAATATTCTGTGCTGTCTGGGTTAATCAGCGACAAATTTTGGTTCATCAGTTCTTCTCAAAAGTGGTTCCGCCGGCTTCATATATACCTAGCGAAACCATGGATTTTTTTCGAAATCGATGATCGATGAATTTTTTTTCGCAATAACAGCGATAAATAAACGACAAATCATAGCATAGTTGAAACTTAAAAATTTAGAAATGGTTCTGCTAGTTGATGTAATGCTTCATCAACTTGAGGGGGAAAGACGTCAGTAAACGCTGAGAAGTTGAAAGCCACAAATGTTCCTTGTTGTTAATGTATTGCCACATTATAGGCAATAGTGCAAGTAATATTGGAGGCAAGAAAATGATGTGCATGTTTGGATCAGTGCCGGATTTATACTCATGCCGGGGGCTAACTATTACGATGCCGCCGCGCCGCCGCCAAATAATTTAAAAATCAAAGTACCCGTTCACCGAATGGAAAAAAAATATAAAACTGTGAAAGTTGACCTTCTTCAGAACGTGAAGTTCCCGGATACGGTTCTGTCGGTTCTAATTCTATCTTATTCGAACTGAGAAAAAATTTATGTATTTTAGTGCCTTTCTTGACAACTTCATCCAACTTCATTCTTTCATTCATCTTCTGCCATTTCCAGAATGCGCCACTTTCTTTTTCACTAATTTTTTTGAATTCCAGTTTCAATATTTACCATTTCCAACGACAACCTATTGGCTACTGAATCCTGGTTTGATATTTGTTATTGAGTTAGACGAATCACGAAATAACCCCTACTAAGTACAATAATTATGTTTTTTTATATTCATCAAATAACACAAGTATGTACCGCAGCCGATGTTGTATGACAGCGTCCAAGGCAAAGCTGACGCTTGCTTAGTGGATGTTATGATTTTCACGAAAACAGTGTCCCAACCTCCGAACAGTCCGAACAACAAGCTCCTTATATGATCGAAGATCCCAATCTCGTCCTTTTGTTGCAGTACCGGCTGCCGGCGGTCGCTAATTGCGCGGTTGCTTCAAAAGGCGACGACTTACTTGTCGCCTCGTCGATGACGAGTATATTGCTGCTTGCTTTTTTCTAGCCCCCCCTAAATTCGGCACTGGTTTGGATTAACATTATGATACCTGTTCACTTGTCAATGCATGTCGGTTCTTGTATCATGATAATGGTGTGTGGTGCTTCTTATCAGCAGTAGTGAAAGTATTGAAATTTTATAAGAATTAATACACGCCTATTCCAAGGTCCGATAAGATTTCGTTTATTTCCTAAAACCGACCAATTACCAGGCATTCGTAGTGATGAAAAAGCCAACTAGCTTTCCCAATAACCGACAAATGTCTTGCTATCAATCAACAAACCTCTATACTTTCAACTTTGACAACAACCGTCACCGTCACTACTGTCAGATAATTATCGAGTTTTCTCAACACAACGTCGTTTCTTTTTCAAACCAAATTATCTTAATGCTGTAGTTGTGACAGTTGTGTATTAATCTCCCTAAAATAATACATTAGATGAATGATTTTTTCGTCAAACTGTACAAAAAATCACATTTTACTTTCTAATTTCCCAACGAAAAACCGACTATGTCCGAAAGCAAGTACTTTTCGTCTGCAGACGCTAACTTTTCGTCCGCAAACGTTTTTTGGTCCGCTACAGGGTTGCCAGTTCTACTTAATTTTCAGTAGATCTCCTGATTTGCATATTAATCTACTGATCTACTGAAGCATTCCAAAATCTACTGATGAATATTCTGACACTCATTTATTATCATAATTACCTATATTATTAATCTTTAGTTAATCACAAACATAAATTGCATGATATTTCGGCACGCTCTGTTTAAATTAATTTTACAAAATATGTAATAAATAAGAAATTGTTTTGAAATTCATGTATTACTAAGTTAAAAACAGTTCGTTTTACATTTCCATGGTGGTACACTATAATTTTTTTCAGTTTGTGTGTGTACCAATAGTTTGTTCACATAACAGCTAGTGTTTTTACAATGTTACATATAAAATACAATGAATTTCTCAAGTTCTTTGTCTAAATGAAAATCTAAGAAGAAATACTTATATGTGTTTAAAAACGAGGTTTGATGTTCAAGCCTAGTCTCGGAGAAAAAAAGAAGAAGTTGACTTTCATAGTGAATTACGAAGATATGATGAACAGTACAATAGGTGAATGAATGATAAATAGTGAGATGACCAGATGACCCAAGTGGTATAGAACTTGTGTGTTTTCAATGTCTTAGCATACAGAATATGCAATTTGTTAATTATATGTTCTATTATATATTATATGTTATATTATTCCAGACTATCCATTGGTGAATCTTTTTTTTACATTTTTATATGGTTTACCTTTGATTTCTGATGGTAACAGGTTGAATAGTTTTGGACCAATATAGGAGATATGTTTTTGGGTGGCCGAGAATCTGTTAATTGGTATTGTCACATTTTTATTTTGTGCTGCTCTAGTGGTATTGTGTGAAATTATTTTTTTATATTGTGGATTTCTCAACATGAATCTAAAAGTTGCTTTTACGAATAACTGCTTAATTGCCAGGACTTCCGCCTCATAGAATAGTTGTTCTGAAGGAAATGTTCTTTTTTTCCCAAGCATGGTTTTTAATAGATATTTTTGAGATATAGGTACATAGTGGTGACAGTATTGTTGGACCTGCTGCTCCCTAAATAATAATTCCATAGTTTAGAATAGACTCTGCTAATGCTAAATAAATTACTTGAGTTTTCAAAGGAAACATTTCTTTTAGTTGATAAAATTTACATATATTATGAGTTATATACATATGGTGTTCGAACCAAAAAATACGTTATCTGATTCAGATCAAATTCAATTTTTTATATACCTCTGTTACAATTGTTTGTTTCTCAAGTTTGATTTTTTTACTTGTTTTGTATTTTGTTGTTCATTTTTTCTATTCCTTCCTGTTTTTTTCATACCCAAATCTTATAAGTAACTATGTATTTTGTGATATTTGTGAGTAGTATTTTTGAATTGAGAATTTAGGAATATGAATATTTTTGTATGAGAATGTTTGTTTTGTTTGTCTCTATTTTGTTGGAAATAGGTTACTTTCATGTTTACTTGAAGTACATAATGTTTTGACATCATAGGTTTATTTCATTATCCTTTCTTGGAATTCGTATAACATAAAATACACCTTGAACAGATCTGTTGAAATCTGCAGAATACAGTTTCTCGTTTCTTACACGTTCAGTGTTTTTATTTGTTTCGTATTTTTGTTGTTCATGTTTACTATTCATCCTTTTTTTATATAGGTACTCAAATCTTATTCAACTGTATTTTGTTATATTTCTGAGTATTTTTGAATTGAATTTTGAGAAGAATCATGCTCATAAAAAGAAACAAGTTTACTAATATCATTCAATTTTATATTCAAATCTTCCATTTGATTTTTCAAATGCATAAGTTTTTCATAACATTTTGTTTATTGAAACTTTGAATTTTACTCAAAATTGCCTTGTTCAATTTTCTCGTATTTCTCTGAATATATTTGCTGATTTTGTTTCAAATCTGAAATAATAATAGTTCTGAATTTTGCTAACTCTGACTTTTGTATCTAAATCTTTCTGCTTTAACTTATTTTCCAACTCTCTATTTTCTTCTATTTGTTTCCTGAATTCTCCACTCTCTTCCACTCGTAAACCTTGGATTTTTTAATATCCCTGCAAAATGAATTTCATTATCTGCAAGTTTTTCGATTCCTGTTGGTTCTAAATTGGAATAAGGTTCTTTTCGATACTCGCTCAATTCATAAATTGTTGGTTCGGCTCTTTCTCTCAATACGATCCTATTCTTCAACATCGAATCTTCGAGCATTCCTTCCTTCCTTTGATCAAAACTTCCGTTTTAAAGTGTACCTGATAAAAAATAAAAATGTTCTATATCCTACCAAGAAATTTGAATACCTCGCAAATTTTGTGGCCTGAACCTATATTCCATGCCGGCCGCATCATATTCTGTTCCATTTTTGTAGAATTACGTTATACGATGGAAATTCGAATAGAGTGAATTGATTTTCCGTGTTCTCACAGTTGGAAACTGCACAAACTTGCATCTTTCTCCTAATTCTCTCAATTTGTCAAACCTTTGAAATTTATGTCATGTACGTCCGTGTACTGTCAGTTCCCGCTTTTTCCATAAATTTATTCGTGGTTATGTCTGATTGTCAGTGCTTGTCATAGTGTCCGTACTCTAATATACATAAAACGTCAAAACAGCAGTGTCAAGTACATTCAGGAACTTTAGAAGAATCAACTGTGTCATTAAGTTTTGATGCATATTTGGGAAAATGTTCATCAAGAAGTATAGTAGAGAGTTGCCTTCCTAGTATTTTGTATTTTCTTCCATACCATTTATTGCCGGAATGCAATAAATCCTATCTTGCTCAGATCACTGGTTTCTTCATTGACTCTTCACTTACCCTCTACCTATATCAAAGAATGTAGATAACACTTCATGAAGTTCGATATATTTTAGGTATGCTGGAGTTTCATATGTCCATATTTGAAAAACTGTACTCTGCAGCCGAACTTATGAACATTACTATATTGACAAAACTCTTAGACGCTCAGAGAACTGCCTATCAACAGCACAGATTGAAACAAATGAGCGAAGCTAAACCAAAATCCGAGGTGAGTTGGATGAAAAAAACATTTCCAAAAGAGAAAGCTCCATCTTTTTCAAATGATCTGCCTCATCCTCTGCCTGGAAGAAAAGTTCCAGTATGGAAGCGCAAGGCAGCACCGCCTCCTGTCTCCCATCCTGTCTCGCAACTTCATTTTCCAGAACATGGGTACCCCATAGACCCTCTTTCGATCCCTGATAACACCCCAAAACCCACTAGATTTGAATGGCCAGAAGACGATCTTCCACCCATCAATTTTATGGACACTAGCTTCGAGGATTTTACTCTAACGAGCCTGCCTCTGCTCACAAAAGAAGACGAAGATAAGGCGAAGCCTTCTTTCGATGATTTGAGGTACAATGTTGAAGTGCCGAAGAAAAAGGCCGGTAGTAGTAAGGCTTCCAGTAGTAATGTGAATACTGCTCAAGTTGAGGAATTTGTTAAGGAACAGAAGATACGAACTGCTATGTTTGAAGATGGTGAGTAATGGTATTTTGATACTTGAACATCTTCCTAACTTTGATGTTGTTCAATACTCACGTCTATTTGAAAATGTCTGATACATTTTCTCATAAAATTTGTAACCGAATGTTATCCTGAACTCAAGTTCTCAGATAATACTGATGGGTTGACCACTATACTGGAAGAAACAAAAGGTACTTTTTCACCATTAACCCGCGAGGGACCGAGACAATAATAGCAGTATCATGGACGATACATTACTTTGATATTTCCATTGTACAGGCTGTCCTTACGAGATACCTCACTTATTTTCAGAGATAGAAATTTGCAGTTTTCGAAAACATTGACTACTTTTTTGTGAAACTCATGATACCGCAAACAACATTTTCATGGCCCACTTCGTTTTTGAGATACAGGGCGATATTGAAAATGTTGCATTTTGGGACCCCCCAGTATCTCAGCTATCTTTCAACACATAGAAAAAGTAAAAACTGTCACTTATGCAGTTTTGCACGTGGAATCCAGTGGCGTAGTCAGATTTCCAAATTAAGCTGCCAGTGCAGAATGATTCATGAATCTTGTCACCTTACTACCCGTCGAATGGCGAATAATAATCCAAAATATCAAAACTACGAAAGATTATATGGTTGGGATTTGAGTTGGTTTCTAAATTTTCGTATAGTTTTGATATTCTGGATTATCATGCGCCATTGGATGAAAAATGTCTAAACTTCGACAGGTAGTCAAGTAACAAGAATAATTATATACACTAGCTTTTTTTTTCATAGCCACCTACTAATATTGGGTCCGCAGCTTTTATAGTCAATAAATAGTGCTGAATATTGGTGAATAATGAATGTTTGTTAAATTTAAACCAGTGTGTCACGAAACACTTTGTGAGCAACAGCGTAAATATATGAAAATTCATATTAAAAGTATTGCTACACATTTACAAAGCGAATCAATAAAAAATATACTAGAAAATTGTGAATTATCTAAATTCAAGGCTGGGACTCAAAATATCCTAAGTATCGTATCGTAATTGTTATATAGGTTGTCCCGAAATTAGCCTGCCAAACTTCACCAGCGGCTTTTACTACCAGAAATAGAAATAAAACTTTCAATGAACATGAGTCGAGCAATGTCTCCTAAGGGAGCTACGGCCCCCTGAAAGGGAGCTCCTGAAGATAATATTTCTTGACTACTCCCGAAACTCCATGTGATAGAAAAATGCCATTTGGTACAAGAACTCAACTTTCCTTTCCCAATGCAGCGAAGATAAAATGATTTCAAAATTTCAATTAGGAGTGTGTAATACAGGGTGGGACTACATTAAATATTGCTCAAAATTATTTTCATGCATATTTTTCGACAATTCAATCTCAGCTTATGAAATTTCACACCTCTTTACAGAAAAAAAGGGACTATTGTTCCGTGACGATCAGATGTATTATAATTGAGTAAGAGCAATTCAAAAATATTGTTATATCTCAGATATTATGCATAACATTGCAATGAGGCGTAGTGGAAATGAAAAAAAAAATGCACATAAATTTAAGTAACTTTTCCATCATCATTTCTCTATTTTTCGCGCTTTTATGAGTTTGTTTGGTAATAAAAGAGTACTTGATTTTTTTATAGCCACTAAAAATTTCACTAGAAAATCATACATCGGATCGATGCCGAACAAAAGCACTTTTTTTGTGAAATGGTGTGGATTTTCATAATTCGAGATTAAATTGTCAACACGACAAAGTTTGTGTAATATTCAATGTAGTCCCACCCTGTATTATACACTCTTGAATGAAACTCTGAAATGATTTTATGTTCATCGCATTGGGCATGGAAAGTTTAGTTCTTGTACCAAATTGCATCATTTTATCACGTGGCGTTTCGGAAATATATAAATGTTTAACAACATGGAAAGTGTGTCCACACTCTTTAAAGGGAATGAAATGAGATGTTCGAAGTACTCTACCTAGCATATCCCATTCCTGTTCACTTTTAACAATATTCAAATCCAATCAGCGATTGGAGCGGCCACCGTGTAGTCCGTTGTATTGAAAAATACAAAATTGTATTTATCTTTGGAATTTTCGGAACGAATCTGCTTCGTTTACAACATAAAAATGAAGAATTTTTCTTGCAATTGGTATTGACATATTTGAATTCTGACTCTTCTCAAATTATCGCTTGAAACTTGGTACAAGTGCAAAAAATTGCAATGTAATTTCACTTTTGACCTATTCATAGTAATATTTTTTCATTTTGCCATCATACTAATAATCACGTGACATCTGCCAGAATATATTCTTCAAGTTGTCGGATGTGCACAATAGATCACCTAGAACAATGAAAGTGAGCTGATGGTCTGTACCCCAAAAGGGTGCTCTTAAGCGAGCCACATCACTCATTAAACACATTAGGCATCTGCGGCACGTGACCAAATGGGCGTAGTAAAGCTGATTGGAGGATAAACATTAGAATTGATTGCATGGATTTATATGGGAATAATGTGTTTCAAAATCCTTTCCCAAGTTTAGTGGTACTGTTTTTCGTGAAATTCAGAAGAAACTATGAAGTTTGACCATTATCAGACCTTACAGAAAGTCCATGAACGTAGATATTTGGAAATATCAAACTAGACATCAAACCTGAAATAGGTAGATCTGGAGCCCCAAAAAAAGTTCTCATTGAGAGAATTGCTTTCGATGGAGAACTTTGGCTAGCGAAGAACCTGGAAGCAAGAACATTTCTTTTCAAAGTAGTATTGATTCCGGAATCGGGCAAATACTTCACAATTATAAAGGAAGAATAACTGAAGTAAGTAGGACACCCTAAAACTTCCAGGAGTATAGAAGAACTGATGAAGATGATTGGCGAATACAACAGGTCATAGAAGATGTAGATGAATCAGTAGAAGAAATCGCCATCATATATGTAGATCATGAAGACTAGATATCATCTATGTACCTACCTATAGTACCTATACATGCCCAGTTGAAAATTTTCCTATTTGAAAGTACTGATATTACTGTATTTTATAACTCTATTGTCATTGACTTGACTTGCACTAAAAATAATATATATTTACTTATATTAGAATGTTTTCTTCAATAAATACATTTTTACAAACTTTTTCATACCTGCACTATCTATTTTACCTATAGTACCTACTTACATAGTATTTTTGAGAAATGTTCATAACAATAATCAAGATCAAGCAAGTTTAGTTCGTGCCTGAATCATTATCCTTGATATTATTGAGCTTTCATGAAGGTGCATATGCCTATTACCTTATACCTATCATAGGTACAGATTTCAATTGATGTGATGAGTTGTTGGGTAAAAATTTCATTTGATTTATTCATTTTACATTCATCCATCCACAACAAATTCGAGTATCTTGATTCTTTCTTCCAACTCATGTTACTCGTTATATAAACTTTGTACTTCCTTTCTCTATCTTTCGAGTTCTTCATTGTGGAAGATGACATTATCCAATATTTTCACATTTTCCTATCCTTGATCATGACCAACAAGTTGAAGATGGGATTCCATACCTTACCATACCTGGTATAGGTACCAATGTACTACAAATGGAATACTACATTAAACAAGAATAATTTGGTATTGATAAAATTGATGAATAATAAAACATAATTAGAGCAGGGAACACCATCGAACAGGCAATTGAAGCCTGGGGTGATGAACACATTTCTTTTTGCTTTTTTTACACTTCTTTCTTATCTCTCAAATGTGCTTTCTTGACTCGATTGCATAGATTTATAACCCATTTAATAGAAGGCACCCAATCTGGGTGGTTCTTCTCAAACAGTTTAGCTGGTTTTCCTAAAATATCATGAATATTCTGGCTAAGCTTCAATCCAGTTGACATATTGATCATTTTGAATCACCTGAAATAAAGTAATTTGAACATATTAATTCCTTCTCCAGCTTATAGTGTCTGACACATCTGTTCTTTAAAGAATTGATCCAGGCAGTTCTTCTTTTCTTGGCTAAACTGTTTTCTTTCTTGTGATTGTCAAGCACTGAGGGTATCCTATAAAATTCTACATTCCATTAAACTATCATTCACAATTTTTTGAGAAACAATTTCATTAAAACTGGAATAAAAGTTGAAAGACAAATCAAAACACATACGTCCAAGCAAATGACCTTGCAGGTTGTGACGTCAGCCGCAGATGCCTAATTGGTCATTGGGGTTTGCAAAAATGTCCTATTAGGGACTAGTTTCGCTGACGTGCAAACTACCCCCACTTCTACCAGTACCAGTTATGACGGACAATGTATGTTCTGTCATAGCCATTACATTCAATAACGTCAACTGCTTATTTTTCAAGTTTTGTAAAAACGCGGTTTGGCACGATTGTTATGTTATGTTATACCTTGAATGAAAGGTCTCCTTAGGTATTATGCACTTCTACTGTTTTTTTCTTTCCAAAAATTCTTGTACAGGTGACTTCTTCCAGTTGACAATATTTTTGGATGCATTGTTGCATTTGAAATCGTTGAATATTCCATTTTTAATTATTCTTCACTTTCATAGTTGAGAACGGCGAAGGAGGGGGACAAAAACGCAAAATGGATCAAGGTACCTCAAAACAACCATCTAAAAAAGTGAAAGTGAATAATAAAGAGAATCACGAGACCACTATCAGCGTGGAAGGCAGTGATTTTTCAGATCTGGCCAATATAGACCACACAAAAATAGTCGCAGAAATTCTGAAAAAATATCCAGACCTTGTCAAGAAGAATAAGAACATAAAGTTGAAGATAATGACCTCTGGAAACAATAAGAATTCACCAGAGAAAATATCGGTACAAACAGTGGTTGAAAACACTAAGAAACCGCCACCGCCAATTCAGGTAACTATATTGAAGAAGGTGATCAGTTCTAATGAAAGTGAAACACAATTTGATAGTTATTTCAGGTAGGGAGAGTCCTTGAACCCAGGAAATTTTGTTGCAATTCTTGAGATAAAGAAGAGACTGAATTTGTCTTTGAAACAATACCAATTTTAGTTGTATTACCTAATCAAAAATAAATGCAAGTCATGGAAACCATCCATTCTCAAAGTGGTCCGGTATTTTTTCAACAGGAGAAAAACGAACTCAAAGTCGGTCAACCACAATATTTAATATAAAAATTATACACACTGCTTATATATAATTTTGATATCAAATATTGTGGTCGACCGACTTTGAGTTCGTTTTTTTCCTGTTGGAAAAATAAATGCATTTGTTTGTTATGATTGTGAGGTATTTATTAAAGTTTTGTATAACAGTATATTACAAATTGGTATTCCAAGAATCTTCATTGTCAATTACCGAACGTTTTTGAAGTCTAGAAAAAATCCTAATTAAGAAGTGCAATATTTAGAAAATAGAAGAAGTACAACACACTAAAATAACATTAGCCTTCAAACTTCAACAGTGTAAATCTCTAGGCTGATCTGCCCAATGCTATTACTTGCCTGGAGTAGATAGTTGAAAACTTTGAGGGCGTTATACAGGGTCTCCTAATTTATTGAAAAAATTAAGAAAATTATACAAATATGTAGAAAAGTACCACAATGGTTGAGAAATATATAAAAAAATTCAAAACATCATCAGCTTTCATTCTTAGAAGATATTCGGAGAATTAAATAGGGAAAACAGCCACACAAACAAAATAGAGCTCACTAAAATAGCATCAGCGTTGGTGTCTTCAAAGAGACTCCACCAGTGTGAATCTCTTCGAGCAAGATTCCATGAACGCCAAATCTTCGTTATTATATTTTTTTTTGCTCCCAACACATTTGAGAACGATGGGCAAATAATATGAAGTTTGGGTCAAGGTGCCCTTGGGAGGTTACAGGGAGCAAAGGTGCTAAAAATAACAACTTACTTTCGTCATACTATAAAGGGTAATTTTTTATATTTCATTCGGGATATTGTTAGAAACCACGTCATCTATTGTCAGACACATAGACACTGAGGCATAATTATTTTGAATATAGGTACAAAAAAGCGCAATATCAAACACACATGGCGTTTGATGGTTGAGAGAATATGAAAATACCGCCATGTTTGAAATGGACCAATCCAAGGTTACTTTCCACCTATACAATGTCCAATAAAAAATTTGTTTTAAAAACGAGCTAATGTGCCTTACAAAATCATATAAGAAAATAGTTATATCAAAATATCAGTGAAATTGGTCTAGCGTGTGAATATACCATGTATGCAGATGATACAGTACTTTTATATGAAGGCAAGAATCCTTCAGATTTAGAAAATATGATAAATGAAGACTTGAAGATATTTGAAAAATGGCTCCAATCTAACCTTTTATCGATAAATACTAACAAAACAGAATATATGATTTTTCACCAAAAAAATAAACAAAAAATTTACCTCAACCTTAAAATGAAAAATGAACTCTTGAAACAAACTGACCAGATAAAATATCTTGGTATTTGGTTTGATGACAGGTTGAAGTGGGACAAACATATTGATGTTCTGACAAAAAAAATATCTCCAATTATTGGTGCATTGAGAAGATGTCCCAAACTTGATATTAAAATTGCAAACATGATTCTCTACTCTCATTTACTGAGTCGTTTCAACTATTTAATAAATATTTGGGGATCTTGTTCAAAAAATAATTTCAATAAAATATCAACATTATATAGAAAATCGTTAAAAGTATTGTATCGTCTCCCATTTGATACACCAACCAATCAATTGGATGAAATAACAAATACGTATTCTTTAGATGAAATATATAGAATTGAAACTCTCAAAATATCATATAATATCATAAATAAAAAATTGAGGTCGAATATTATTTTGATACGGAATTCTGAAATTCATAATCATGAAACTAGACAATATAATTTGTTTCATCTTGACGCCACTAGCTCCCTAATCGGACAAAAAAGATTCACTCATTCAGCCTTAACTGAATTCAATAAACTACCTGATAATATAAAAAATTGCAGAAATATAGGTATATTAAAAAATGAAGTAAAAAAACTGATTATTTATGAGCGGACTGGATAAAAATAATCATGCCTTTTTTTTCACAAATATTATTCTTTGTTTGCCAATTTACAGTTGTTGATATATTTTGAATGATGCGATGTTTACCTATAGGTATATAATTATGTACTTCCTTATACCAGAGCCTATTCTGTCTGGAAGTTATTTGTTCAATAAATAAATAAAATAAATAAATGCATTTTAGGTATTCATTCATATCAGTACTCATGTCCAATCAGATCAAAATTTGACTGGATATTCATCAGCTTGTTCAGGAGGTACCAGTAATGTTTTTGAATTATTTATCTTCTATAGAAATTCTTACAATTATTAATGACACAATCGTCATTGATAGTTATTCTAGATACACTTGTACTTCAATGTAGAAATCGACTCCTTGTCCAATTGAGACTATTGATAACAGTTTTGATCCATTAAATTTTCTTGTCAAATATCTCAAACAATAAAAAAATTTTTAATAATTTTTCCTCAGGCTGAACCTGTTAAAGTCAGGCCGCAAAATTCGCCTCCAAAGAAACATCCCAAAAGGAATGACGCGCAAGAAGAAGGGCCATGGATGTGTCAAAAGTGCATGGAAATGGGTGGAGAGTCACAAGAATTCGTTCTCTACTATCTATATAGGAAACACATGACAGACAGCCACAATGAGACGTTCGACGCGAATCTGTGCAAGTATTGCGGTAAACGGTGCGGCACTGATAACCTGATGTTGTACCACTTGTATACAAAACATGCTCTGAAGCCTCCGGCTGGTTCTAATTTCCCCAAGTGTGATCGTTGTCCTTTCATAGGTGAGTTCGAAAAGTCTCTGTAACTGGAAATATCGATATGCAAAAAAGAAAAATGTGGAGAGAAAACTTATCATATTCACGTCTCAACCAATAGTTGCGTTTTATTTATCCGATTCCGCCACCGGAATCACTTCAATGTGCCGTTTTATTTGCAACTTTTCCGATTCGGGTTGCTACTTTCCATTCTGTCTAACTTCAAGGAATGACGTGGAATGACTGTTGAGAGTTGTAAAAAAATTGAATTAGATTGACGAAAAACTAATCTTTTTGAAAGTAAAAGACTTTCAGAAGACATTTTTATCATGAGTTTCACAAGTTTATGATTCTTACAAGTAAGACAGATTTCATATGTTAATTCCCAGATAAAAATAATTCTCTCGATTCAGAGAAGTTTCTCCAATCACCACAATAACTGCTCCAAATATTTGTTGATTCATTTTCTAGATCCTCAACTCTAGTATCATGATTTTGGAGCCCTAATATCTGAATATAACCTCTTATATACATTCACCCATGCAAGGTCATGAAGTTTGCCGTATTATTTGTAAACGTCATTCTGTTCCCACCACCACTACCAGAATGGAACAAATAAAACGCAACTAATATATCCACTTACATCAAAAAACGTTGTAAACAATAATTCTCAACTAGAATTTATAGTTGCGGTCACGTTATAAATACATAGTTACTACGTAGTATGGCCAAAAGGGGAAACAAATTACGGGTAGTTATTAGGGTTTTCCGACATAGCTGAAACTCACACAGTAACTTAATTCTTACGTCTCCTCGACGTAAAAATTGCGGAAAGATATAGTAATTAATGTTCCTACTGACTATCTGTTGCTTTTCCACTATTATTTCCTCTTTATTATGTCAACCAAGATGATCACCTACGAATAATAAACAAGTTAAATATATTCAACAATGATTGCAAACTCAAACAGGTGAAATAATTATTAATACACTACATGAAAATATCTGAAACAACCAGTTTATCGATAAATGTGATGATTTTGTCTCGTACACAAAATGCACCTTTTTGCAATTAATCATGTTGAATTCTAGTATTTTACTCTTTGTTATCAAACGAATAATACTATTGTTCTTCATGATGTTCAAAAATAATGGAAACTAAATTCAAAAGCAAGATTTTAAACTCGGTCAGTTATGATTACCTAGGTAGAGATGACTGGAACTAAGGTTTCCTAACCAAAAGGAAAATTTACTGATAGGCAATAATTGAAGTGAAAATCAACAATATCTTATGAACAAAAATGTAATCGATTAGTTGGTGATGATCAAAGTAGCGACAACGTCATAGAAACCTCAGTAGTTACAACCAAATAAAGCCGGGATTGGCGCAGTGGAAGATCGTCCGTCTCACGACCGCAAGGTCTTGGGTTCGATTCCCAGCACGAGCAAGGAACTTTTTTTCATTTTTTTACGAATTAAATATTGTAAAGTTTCGGAGCATCGGCTGGGGATAATCCTGCACGATTCGCTGTTGCGTTCCAATCAACAGTGCTGCTCCTAAAGTGGCTCATGGAGTTAGTAACAAAGCCTACACAGAACACGCAGAAAGAGATGATGATGTGGTTGTGAGCATCAGAGGAGAAGTAGGACGGTGTATGTAGGTGGGTGTGGAAAACTACCAGCTGAGAGTGAGAGCGGGCCAGCTGCTTAGTGGACCTCGGTCTCTAACGTGGGTTAACGAGGATAGCTAACAGACCTGCTACTGCAGCATATGGTAGTGAGTACATTACTAGCCTACAAAACACAGCCGAAAAACTCGGAAAGAGAGCTGATGGGCGGTGCCTGAAAAGGATGTTAGCCAGCTCTCTTGAGCGAACCACATCAGTCATTGAAAACACTTAGGGTTTGCAAAAAGGTCCCATCAGGGACTAGTTGCTGACGTGCAAACGTCCCCCACCAGTACCAGTAGAACCAAATAAATGCTACAGTAAACTTCTCGTGAAGAGGTAAGCATTCTCAAACAATATATTCGAAGTTACGAAAACTTATAAGAAGATTTAAAAAGTACTTTTGTAATAATCACTTTGTAAGGAATATGAAGGTACCACATTTTGAAGTTATCTTGAAGAGCGAATACTACGTCGATTTTACTCATTGAATGACTCTCACAAAAGGACCCACTTCAGTCTTTTGTGACGCTTCGTCGCTCCACTCCAGAATGGATTGTGAAGTTTCAAAAATCGCCTGGCGCGTCTTGCATTTGACTCGGCGAGAGACGTTCCAACCATCCTAAATTCCTGGCGCAATGCGCTTAGAAGAGTCAACAAAGAGAGAGCGAGACGATTTACGCGCCGCTCCGGCGCTTCTGTGGTTTCTTAAATATAATCATTACCGAGATCATTACTCAATTACGTTCCAATTCCATATTTATTTAAATTTTTTCGGGCGTTTTGAGGTGTTGAAATCATCAATATTGCCACGGTAAATTTCAAACCGCAATTAAATAATGACGTCACGATTTTGTAAATAGGGACAGACCATAGCACAGTTGCCATATGTTGAAATATGAATCTTTACATTTACCAAATGGGACATATACATCATTTTTTTGCCGGGTATTCGCATTATGTTTGGATTTATTTGGGAACAAAGTATTTGTCATAATTTTTATATACAAACACCCAATATTCAAGTATTGAAAGATAAGGTTATGTTAAAATTTTATAGTTGATAAATATATTTCTGCAGGATTCTCTCATAGGAACACCTATCATTATTCCTACTATTCTTTTTGAGCTATAAAAACATCTTTCCATTGTGAAGATAGGCCCCAGAAACATAGACCATACCTAAGTCTAGAGTCAATCTGAGCATAATACAAGGTCAATAATTGATTCATATTCAAAACTTGTTTTGAGTTTCTCATTTGATATGATATTGTGTTCAATTTCTTTGTTAATAGTGCACAATGGTTATGCCTCCCCAAACATTGATCAATATAGAGTCCCAGGAACTTGGTGCTTTCACTATCTGCAATAACAAGATCAGAATTATCCTTTGCCTGGAAAGTAAGTCACACTTTTCCTGACCATTGTGAAATCGAATCGAAACTGTTTTATCAACATTCAATTAAAGGTTATTTGCAGAAAACCATCTATTCAAATCTTGAAAAACTTGATTGCATTTATCCTTGAGGGCTGAATCATTCTGATCAGAGATAATTATGGAGGTAGAATAGAATAGAATAGAATAGAATACTTTATTTTACCACATTACGTACACTGTACATTTGTAGCAGGTCAAGGAGTTAGAACTATAAAAAAATAGAACTGTAAATAAAATGAAGTTAAAAGACAAACAATAAAAAGTTAAAAGACAAACAATATGAAAATATTGATACAGATTAAAAATAGATAACAATATGAAAAAATATAAAATACAGGTACATATTGATAGCGACTTCATCCATATTAATACTCAAGCCAGTAGTTTCTCATGATCAGTCTGAAAATATTCTTCCAGTGAGTAGAAGCAATGTTCCAGGAGATATTGCTTTATTTTATTCTTAAATTTGATGAAACAGAGATTTTTAATTCTATGAGGCAATATATTGTAAATGTTGTAATCCAAGGAGTTTTTCTGAGATACAGTAAGTCTAAACCGAGGATTACGTATCTTCATCGCATGTCTGGTGTCATGGTCATGAATATCACTATGAGTTCTGAGTATGTTAGATTGTTTGTGAACCTCTTGTAGTGTGTTATAGATAAACAAAGTTGGTAATGGCATGATGCCATATGCGATGAATAAGGTTTTACAGTGTTCTCTATAATATGCATTGGCCATTACTCTTATTGCCTTTTTCTGCTGGCGAAATATGATAGGAGCATGAGAAGAGTTTCCCCATAATAAAACGCCATAATTTATATGACTGTGAAATAAAGAAAAGTAGACAGTTTTTAAAGTTACAGAATTTATGATACTCCTGAGTTGTCTGAGGAGAAATATGGTGCTTGACAGTTTTTTCTGTAAAAGCTCAATATGATGGTGCCAATTTAGTTTCTCATCAAGCGTGATCCCTAGTAAATTCACGCTATTACCTTTATGGCAAGAGGGATGCGTTGACATTACAATTTTTTGAGTTTTATTGGTATTTAACTTCAGTTTATTATATTCAAACCACTCCTCAGCTCTTTTTTCGATAATCTCTGTTTCGGTGATGAGATCTTGATAATTACTTCCAGAACAAATAAGTGTAGTGTCGTCAGCAAACAAGACACATTTGGTGGGTTGCATGAACTCAAATATATCATTTATATAAATAATGAACAGTAGTGGCCCGAGGACCGACCCTTGGGGCACACCATGTACGACTGGAAGGTAATCTGAACAAGCGTTGTTAAAACTAACCTTCTGGAAACGAGTTTCTAAATATGATTTAATGAGTGATAAAACTACTCCTCTCAAACCATAGTAGGATAATTTTTCCAGAAGAATATTATGAGAGACACAATCGAAAGCCTTGGTTAGGTCACACAAGGTGATGGCAGTATGATTTCCCATTTCAAGACCCTCGACTATCTCTCTCACAACTTTCATCACAGCCTGTGATGTTGATTTATTCTTACGAAATCCATATTGACTATTATTCAGAAAGTTATTGGATTCAAAGTAATTCTGAATTTGATTTTTCAAAAGAATCTCAACAATTTTAGAAAATATGCAGATAATAGAAATTGGCCGAAAATTATCCACTTCGGAAAGATTACCCTTTTTAGGAATAGGAACTACTCTTGAATATTTGAAAATATCAGGAAATTTACCACTACCGAATATGAGATTAATCAAGATGGTCAGAGGATCTACAATAATTTCTAGGGTTTCTATTATTATTCGGCTATCCATGTCATACGCGTCTAGACTATTACTATTATTCAATAATTTAATCGTGTCTAGTACATCCACATTCGTTACTGGTAATAAAAAGAAAGATGATGAAGGGACAGGAAAATGTTTGAAGTTTAGTAGTATGGCATCTCCATAATCTGGTATGGTTTTAATCAGAGTTTCTGCTACACTGACAAAAAAACTATTGAAATCATTTGCAGAAATGTCACAATTGGGGTCACCTTTTTTGTTTGTGTTCCTATTGCATTCAAAGTTTACTAACTTCCAACTAGCTTTTGATGTATTAGATGTAGATAAGATGTATTGATTATATGCTGCTTTTTTAGCATCTTTCAGTTTATTCTGGTAATCTTTTTTCAATGATTTATAAACTGATATGTTTGCTGGATCCCTAGAAACATCAGCAATCAGTTTAACACTTGAAAGAGTATCTCTCATGTCTTTTAGAGAGTTATTGAACCATACAACTGGGGATTTAGTACGCTTCGTTGAGGTTTTTTTCATTGTAATGCAGGAATTTAGAGAATTACTGTAGGTATCAATTAGAAAGTTAGCAAGCTCGTCAGCATCTTTAGAAGTGTTGAAAATAGACCAATCCAACTCTCCCAAGGACTGTCGCATTTTAAGCATTCCAGATTTCGTAAGACATTTTTTATAAAGAACTTGATTTGGTATTTGTTCTATTGGATCATTTATCAATATGTATTGCCCAAGATGATCAGACAAACAGGGTTCAAGAACTCCTGCTTCCCTGAAATCAATATTCGTGATTATATTATCAATGCAGCTAGAACCCCTTGTTGTTATCCTAGTATAGTCATCAATGGTAATTTTGAGGCCGTAAGAATTCGCTAAAGTTTCTATGTCTCGTAAACTTTTTGTGTTGGAGGCTGATTTGAAATTAATGTTGAAATCCCCAACCAGAATAATTTTATTCTTCCTTGAATAAAAAAAAGATATCAACATTTCTAGTTGCTCTAAGAAAATTTCAATGTCACCTGAACAAGATCTATAAATCGCAATGATAATTATTTTATTTGTGAGCTTTACTCCACAGAACTCAGCGTGAAACTCAACAGTAAATTTACTTAAGTCTAACGGTTTGTGTGAAATACTAGTTTTCAAGAATAAGGCAACACCTCCATGTTCCCTGATTTTCCTACAAAAGGAGCTTGCCAATGTATAACCTGGTATATTCATCGCTGACAGGTCAATTTCACGTTGCCAGTGTTCAGAAAAACAGATTGCATCAAACTTCAACTTATCTAGATACAGTTCTATCTGTTCAAGTTTATTTGATATGCATTGAATATTAATATGGAATACACTCACCATGTTGGGGTTACATAAGTTATTACAATTTATATAATTAAAATTTGTGATGTTTCCAATATTAAGATCATCACCCGTTTTTTCCCGTTCTATATCTTGGCAGTTTCCTTCCTCCGCTGTAGGTATAAAAAACGTTGGACATGTGCGCCGATTGGCCATTTAGACGGATCCATTGCATTTTCATAATTCTGCTTGTAAACATCGACTTTGAAGGACGAATACAACTCTGGATGTTTTGATGATATTTTTTCAGTTTTCACTTCTGGGAAATGAACTCTCATCATATGTGTCAAATCATTGGCAGTTAAGTTTGGGTCCACTCTGAACACATGGAGAGTAGTAAACATAGGCACCCCCATGACTTCTTTGCCATTAACTTTAATGGTTTCATTGTTTCCTACAACAATATTCCTCTTCCTTCTTGGGTTTGATACTAGATTCCACTTTTCAGTATGAATAACTTTTTCTTCATTCTCTTGATTGCGTTTACCCAGTTCAATATAACTGCTACAGATCTGGTTTGTTTTCGCTTGCAAAATTGCGTTTGATACCTGTTTTTCAGAAATTACTGAGCTACCTGTTATTTTAGCTGCAGTGGCAACAGTGTCATTACAGTTTATTTTCGAGGTAGACGGAACACTACCGGTTTTTGTAGCAACCGATTTTTTGTTGTTTATCAGTGGGACATTCTCATTAGGATATTTTTTTTCATCACTGATTACTTTTTTGCAGTCATGTTGCTGTACTATTTTTTCCTTCTGGATCTGGTTCAATAATTCTATGTGATTATTCAAGATCTTGATTTTATCTTTCAGCTCGCTGATGATGATATCCTTTTGTTTTATAATGTAACTAAAAATATTTACGTCCACTTTCTTCTCGCTATTTATATTTTCCATGGCATCGTAAAAAGCCGTGTCAAGGTCGTCTTCCATTTGTGGTGATGGTACTTTACACGTGCTGCATAAAAACACAAATTTTCCCTTTGTAAGTTCGTCAGTTTCAATTTCAGACAGTCCACTACATTCTCGGTGATACCACTGTTTGCAAGGTCCAGCACAACCTATTTTATAACTAGTTTTTCCAATGTTTTTCGAACATTTGCCACAGACTAATTTACTAGACATCTTTATTCTTTATACTTTTTTATCATCTGCGTACATGGTCATAGATGTATCAATTGACTTATCGAGGTCATTAACATGAAATTGAAATAATATAAGTCCCAAAATTGATCCTTGTGGAACTCCTAAATCAGTTGAAATGAAGTCAGATGGTATTTTGATGATTTCAACAAATTGTTTCCTAAAAGACAGGTACTCTGCTATCCAGGCCAGTGGAGTGCCACGAATACCATACCTGAAGAGTTTATTTAAGAGAATCTTATGATCAAAGCAATCAAATGCCCTGCTGAGATCACAGAAAATTCCAACAGGGCATTCTCTCGCCTCAATACATCTAATTATCTCGCCTCAATACATCTAATTATCTCACTATAATAGGAGTGAATGGCTGTGGTAGTTGATTTGTTGTCCAGGAATCCGTGCTGATTCGGTGTGAAAAGATTGTGACTATTTCAGCACAATCGAACGCTCGTCTCGATCAACACAAAGAAATGCACAAACCCAACGAAATGCAATGCCAGGACTGTAAGCTGGCCTTCAGCAGCTCCCATGCCCTGGGCGCGCATGTCCGTGTCACAAGCCACTACAACAAGCCCGGCAAGGTTAGCTTCGACTGCCAGTACTGCATGAAAAAGCTCCAGTCGGCCATCAATCTCTTCACCCACATCAAAAACTCTCACCTGAGGGAGGGGAAAAGAGACGGGATTGTGTGTCTTGATGAGTTGGATTCTATGGAGGATCTGGATGAGGAACAAGAGGAAACTGGAAAGGACGAGTATATTGTGCCCGAGATTCTGCCAGGGATAACTACTCAGAAAGACAAGGTAGGATTTTTGGTGATCTGTTTCTTCTGCTCATTCTTGATGCGATATTCGGTTATTGTTAGGGAGCTGGCTGCCAAAATTTCTATATGATCAGAACACGTGGCAGACCTCATTAATAGCGATAATTATACCATAAAGAACATTGAGGACCGTGTCTGCCACCATGAATTTTTTTATTAAAAGGGGGAACACAATCATTTGCAGATGTCTGCTGCTGGGGCTGATGGTCACAATCATCCTTTAAACAAAGAAAATCGAAAAGGCAGACAGCCAGAGCTCTGACTTTTATAGTAATCAATTTGGTACCTTATTTCTATGAATAAAAAAGTATATATGAAGTGCATATTTGGCAGACATAAATTGTTCAATTGAAAATAATGAGAAAGATCAAAGAAAAATGGTCTGCCAACATGATGGTGCCTCTGCGTTGTCAATTGACAGCACTCTGAAAATGTTAAAAGAAAAGGGTATGCTATATTGATTGATTGTTTTTATTACCCAAAGAAACATCTGTTGATAAGAGCCATACATAAAAACGCTGTATTGACTTCATTGAAAGCTTAGTTTGATATTCTAAATGTATTCCTGACAAAATGAATGAAAATACATATTTTGAGTTTATATAACAAAATCAGATTTAGAAATTTTCAATTTCCATGAACCAGCGCTTGTCGTAAATTTTTCTTCATCTGGTATCTGGTTTTCTTTATATTCAAATAGTGGTTTCTCCACATAATATGTGTTAGGGAATTGCTTCAAAGGTATAAAAACAATGTGATAGCAAAAAATGAAGGCAAAATCAGGAGATAATAATTTTTTGATATACTTACTTGAACTGACGCGTGTCGTTAAATTCACGTTCTTTCAAATATAAAAGGATGACAAACACTGTTTGTGAAGCCCGAATAGATCGGAACTCGATGCTCGCGACTGGGGGAAGTTATCAGATGTGTTTGTCGTAGATTTCACGACAACTCGGCCGCTAGAAAGTCGAAACTAAACTGGTCAACATTGATAACGTCGTGGTCCAAAATAAAGCCTGAATTCAAAGTAAAATAACTCACGAATTTCCTTACCAATTTGAAATCGGTTTTCACCGATTATTAGCCCAATCTGTTGACAGATTGTTGTGGCAATATCAAACTTCTGTGATGTCAGATAACATTGTTACAGGGTGATAATTGAATGGGTGTAAAATTGCATCGCACTAATTTTCTTTTCGGAACCTAGCGATTCTCATCACGTTTAAACATATTATTCTTCTTCATCCCGGGACAATCTGGGCATATTTTTAATCGCACCTTGTATATCTATCGTCAAGAATAAATATGAATTTCATACTTCTGGAACTACAATCGTAAATTTTTGCATTTCATAAGTTATCTCAACGAAAATTCATCATTTTGTTCAAAAATGCGTACGTTCATTATATGACCTTCGATCCGAGAAATTACAAAACCATTTCGAGGTCAGACATCCTCTTGACGAAGTAACACTCCATTATTTCACTAGTAACACAGAATAAATTATGTTTCATCCACTGAAGGCTACGTTATTCTCCATTACATCATTCAGTATTTCTTGTATCACTTCTTCAGAATTTTCTGTGTTCGAACACGATCACATATCCGACGACTATGCATTCAACGTTGATTCTTAGAAAAAGTATTCCAACTTCCAACTTCCAATTTCATTCAATTAATGGTCGAAAAAATGCATTATTTTGTATGAATATTCATAGCACGATTATCAAAGCTCTGAATTTGAAAATTCCGAAAACGTTTCGAGAGAAAGCATCAATCAAGAAGATACAGGTAAAAAAAATGAAAAAAATTATCTGTTCAAACGGTAAGGTGACGACCACTATGCAATTTTGCACCAATTCAATTATCACCCTGTAACAATGTTATATGGAATCACAGAAGTTTCATATTGCCACAACAAACTGTCAATAGATTGGGCTAGTCATCGGTGAAAACCGATTTCCAATTGATAAGGAAATTCGTGAGTTATTCTACTTTCAATTCAGGCTATATTTTGAAGCATGACGTTATCAATGTTGACCAGTTTAGTTCACAATGAAAGCATTATTATCTTTCTTATTTTTCATCAGGTGAAAATAATATCGAACGTGAAAGTACCTCCGAACCGCCAAAAAGCGGATAGCACGCAAAGCACGCAAGTCATTCAGCTGGATCCCAGTTCCGAAGCGGAATCTCTGAACAACGTTGCCAGCGGCATCGCCACCAGCTTGGGTTTGGTCGATATAGTGGTGCTCGACGAGAACCAGCAGTACATCCTCCAACAGGACGCGCAAGGGGAAGGGGAGTTTATCATTCCGGATCTGGGGACCGGACAGTCTTTTGCTAGACAAGTGATTACGACGCAGCATAATACGGTTATACAACAAGGTAAGCTATTTCAAGTTTTCGTATTCTGTTTGACTAACGTTTCCTTCCCGTTTGAACAGCTTAATCAGGGGCTACTCTATCTCACCGGGCCGTAGTCTATCCCCTCTACCTTGATGCTGACGTCACACTAGTAGGTTGAGATTTCACATCATTTTATATCGATGCGTTCGTAATTGAAAGGTTATAGCTCATTTACTTTAACAATTAGAAGCACACTCAATCAAGACGAATTGATCCCTGATGGACTACCCAACTTTCGGTAAAAAAATAAATTCATTAGGATGAGCCAGTACCTATTTATTATGCAGTGAAGAAATTCAATTTTAATGATGATCAGGACGTTGTACTATGGAACACTATTTTCTGCCAATTTGGAATCGGTTCAAAATGAAACTGACTGGGTATGTAAAACTACGATAATGCATCCATTAAATAGTGAGAAAATTATTGAGCTACCTACAATGAGTCCGAAATAAATTAGGAATAAAGAGCGCGTAAAAATTTGTCTAGTATTATACATACCTACCTAATTTCCCCCTATTAACGATTTCATGGTAATTCCCTATAGGTAAAGGGCAATGCACGTTTTATCACTCATGTCCCAGTTTTGGGTCTTTTGATATTCCGAAAACTATATTGAATATTGTGTTGAATGAGAACTACATATTTTTTGTTCTTTTTAATTTTCATATTTTGAAAATGTTTTCAAATCAATTTATCTTCATTGATATGAGATTATTTTTAAAATATATACTCCATAGCTGAAAATAATGAATTCGCTTTCAGGGTTTTTGCTTAATATAACTTCTACTCGGGTAGGTATATAATTTCTAACGTCATCAAAGTGTGTCCAGATTATCTTTGGAAATAAAGGCTGCTAAAATCCTCTGAGATACAGTAAAAGTGTATTATATCCATTTGTAGGCAATGAAATTTACTACAAAAAAGTCAGTGGCAGCATATATCCACAACTAATAGATTTAGCATGGGGGCCGGCTAAACTTTTTGAACTAGTCTGTAATAATCATCTGAATCACCATTTTACTCTAATTGAAATATCAGTTCGTTATTGGCTCTTGGGAATTTTGAAAAAATATACAGTCAATCTAGATACCATGAGAAGCTATTGCATGGTTGGATCATTTCTGTGAATTGAATATTGAAATTCTAGCAGCTGTTTAAAAAACGACAATTATGAATGTAGTCAATTCATTTTGATATGCTATATTTCTTGAACTATTAATCGTAAATCAGTGAATATTGATACATCTCTTGAAAAAGTCTAGTCTGTACATATTTGGTCTCTTGACATTTTTTGATAACTGTTTCCGTTTTCCCGTGGTACATCAATGAATTGGGAAACGCAATATCCAGCGCCTCGATTTTGTCCCTACTAGTGTGACGTCACGAAAGCGATGCTCTGGCCCGGTGAGATAGAGTAGGCCCTGGCTTAATACTGTCTGGAGGTTGATCTAAGATGTGGAACATTTTCGATTTCGCCCTGTATCTCAAAAAAACAAAGTGGGCTATAAAAATTTTGTTTGTGGTATTGTGAATTTCACAAAAAAGTAGCCAACGTTCGCGAAAACGGCACATCTCTATCTCAAAATAAGTGAGATATACCGTAAGGACATCGAAAATGGGACAGCCTGTACATCATATTGTTTTTGTTTGACACAGCAGATTCAATGTATTTAGTATTGGCGATAAAAAATAACACGTCGCTCCACCTGCCGGCAACAACTTGAACACTTCTCAGCGGTTTGTTTTGATGATATGACCAATAAGCACAAACAAAAAACAAATGTGAACCGATGAAAAAAAGTAAACAGCCCGCTTTGACAGTTTCCAAGAACTCCGACAGGTGGCGTACACTTAATTTCTATCACGAATACAAGTATCTCTGAAGATTCTCAAAACCTCAAAAAATACATAACTGGCAATGTTGGCGATGATGAAGCACATTGATGGTATCGGATTTAAAAGATTTCTCAGACTTACATTGGCCTTCTATATCTTTGAATTCTTTGGTTTCAAGGTATGGTTGAATATACAAAAGTTGGGTAACAGGGAAATTTTGTTTACTAATATAATAAATATATCACTCATGCTCGGTCCAGTCACTTTTTCGAATAATAATAATAATAATAATAAAATTTATTCATCTTTTAAGATCACACACAATGATATAAGACATGTCAGGAATAGATTTGAGATATTTAAATTTTTCTGAATTTGACTGCCATGGGACTGATGAGGGTAACACAGTACTGATAAAATACACAACTTCATAGTAGTAGTATTGTGGGGAGGCTGTAGCCAGGCAAGTAGGCCCTCATGGGCCCTTTTTGCACACAACTTCATAAGTAATGTATGAAATTTATTAAGATTTGGAAAAAAATTCTCAAAATCTAATAATGGTGAATCTATTAGTAAAACTATAGATATTGTAATACAGATGATTTAATAACAATTCCCATGTAATACTATGCAAAGTGAACTTTCTCAGTCCTCACAGCAGCCGTCTGTCATTTTTAATAACGTTATATTACTCAAATTATATTACTTTGATTAAGTATCATTTAACAGAATACATTTTCAAAGAAATTAACAAATAATAGGAACTAAAATATTACAATCTACACCTCAAAGGCATCAACATGACATTATTAGTAATGATAATGAGGTATTTTTCTATACAAAAAATAAAAATACTTACAGAATAGTTGCACCCTATTACAATAATTACTTTTTGAAAACATCAATGTTTTCCTCAAATTGGTTAAACACTCTATTTCCTTTTGTAATGATGTTTGTTACATGTAGTTTTCTTATTATTTGATCCATTGGAATATCTGAAACATCTATTTCATTCAATTTAAACAGAGTGTTATTCTGTTTATTACAAATGTTGAGGCAAGTCACTCTCAATTCATCGTCTTCATCATCAACAGAAGATCAGATTGCCGCATAATGATTATCACGTACTCCTTGTGACATATTTGACCAAAACCAAAAATATAAGTGAACTTCAACACACCCTGTAACGAAAACCACTTTCTTCATGACGAAACAGAAACATATGTATGTGCTATTTTCAATGAATTTATCAATGGTCGAAGTTAGACAAGTTATAACTGATACCGTTAGAATTGAATAGTATCAAGCTTGCAACTTGTGAGATACCTGTTGAATTCTGCCTAGTGGGTTATTCGAAATGTTTGTTGTTAAAGGGCTTTCACGCTGGGTGGATAGTGACGTCAATATGTTAACACATACAGTGTTGCCAGTTGAAAGGAAATGACTGAGTGACCAACCGCCTGAATATGGATATGTCTAGTGTTACGATCGTCGGACGTTATAATGTTTTTTGGAACCAACTCAAAAGCCGTCCATTTATGTTTCAAAATCAGCACTTGAAGTTGATAAATGAACGTCAATATTTGTATTTAATGAACCTAAACAATATACTGAATATGAAATTTAATGATAATGAAATTCTTATAGAGAATAATAACTTGAAGAATTAAAAATAACTTATTTTTCTACCAATACACAATTATGTGTTGAATTCTTTTTTTTTATATAAAACTGATCAGTATTCACATTTACTGATTGAAAATAATAAAAACTTCGAATACAATTTTGAAGGTTATCTAATCGTTTGGATTGTTCTTCAATTACCATAAATTGGTGAAATGAAAATCATAAAAAATACCTGGAACCTCCTACTTTGTGTTTTTTTCATACTTTAGTGAGAGATGTGATGCCTCCATTGAAGAGATAACGTTCAGCAAGTTTATCTCTCAATGTTTTCAATGTGATGTGTTCCTCTATTCGAAATCAAACACACAGGTATTACCTAAAATGATCATTAATTTTCAGTGAAAAGACTTACTGTTCTTATACATGTCATAGATACAATTCCTAATTACGACTTGTTCACCATCATTAAGGTCTAAAATGGGTTTTCTCTTTGTTTGTTCTTTTTGGGACCAGCCAAATCATAACCATGTTCTTGTTTGGCAGATATTCTCTATATAGTAGCGATACTTATTTTTAATGTAGCAGCTACTCTCTGTAATTCAGACAAATCATATTTGGTTCATTCGGAAAACACAAAATATCATTATAAATACCATCATTCAACTTACATCTCTCACAGCAGTCATTGGAAGTAATGGGCCACCATGATACCACCATCTTCTGCGCCTCCGCACTCAATGGTTTAGGCATTTTGAATAAATCGAATTTCACCTGTGATCGACAAATAAATCACAAACAATTCCTTGAAAGTACAAATTGTCAGTAATGAATAATTCGCAGAGATCGCTGATCACAACAAATCGCTTCTAGAAATGTCAAATTAATCTGGCATCGGTAGTTTTGCGAACTTAAATCGATAACGCGGTTCGTCCATTTCGAAAGTTACTAGTATTTTTCGATGTGCAGTTTTGGCATGACATTGTTACCAAGTATTGCGCAACTATCAACCCAGCGTGAAAGCCCTTTATCTATGATTATTCTGTTCCTCTAGGTATGATTCAATCTGCTGGTTCAGATATTGGGTCCACCGATGAATTAGTGATGGTTTTAACTGATCATGAATACCCTGATGAGCAAGAAGGTGAACACTCTGACAACTCCAACATTGTTGTCTTGTACAGTCACCCTGTAGAAGGACAGGAAGGACAATTCATAACCTCTCAAGTAAGATATTTTTTTATATCCACAGGTAAAATCTTGGGTGTTGGATTTTTATTAAATGGAATCCTGGTGTATACTAGTAGATTCTTTTATTATCAAAAGTGACACTTTGTTTGACTAGCAGAATTTGCGAGTTGAACAAAGTCAAATGCACGATTCACTGTTTCGTTCCAATTAACAGTGCTGCTCCTAAGGTGGCGTATAGAGTTAGTAACAAAGCCTACACATAACACATCATTTCAGAACACATTGAAATGTACATACATTCCTACCAAGGTGGATAGATATATGGTGAAATAGCTTACTCTTGCAAAAGACTAGAAAAATGTGTAGACTTTTGCCTACTTGATTATGTCAATTTTAATGACATTGACAACAATTCCTAGAGTTCTCATAGATGGCGCTAGGTCGATCATATTTTTCTCGTCAATTTGGTGACATAAAAAATGCTCAATTTCAATAACAAGACAATTAATTTATCAGATTTCCATCATATTATGGAAGAAACGGAAAATTTACGAATCTGAAAACGGTTTCGATAGGTATTTGCCGAGTCGCCGAAACGCTGCAACCACAAATACACATGAATTGGCATAATAAATTATTTCTATGAATTCTATGTCACAACTGGACGTGGAGTTGGTATATTGACAAAAGGGCGATAATTCTTTCATATTATTGTGAATAGTGAATCTGGAAACCTGAAAACAGTGAAAATGTGTTGGAAAAACAGTGTAGAAGTCAGTTGATTGAAATGAGATACTGTGATATGAGTAGGATCAATAATTGGCAGCAGAGGAGCAACAAATGGAAGAAAGTACACCTACACTCACAATATACCTTTGGAATTCACCCTATCACAAGTACACAATAAAATGATAATAATATTATTATGTTTGGTGCAAATCGAAAATATCATAAGTATGTACAAAGATGAACAAGTGCCCTTGCCACTAGTTTTTTCATAAGGTAAGTGCAGTAATCACTAATACAAAACTCCACCTTACTGTAGTGTAGTTATATCCAGGCCTATTTCACAAAATGATTAGGTACCTAATACTCAGAAGTTGAAACTGAAAAAAATCCACATTCTTCTTTGAGGTTTATCTACACATGAATGATAAATTGAACCAAAACCATAACAAGGCCTATCACAGCCAAATAGCTGTAGAGTTATTTTAGTATCTATCTATTTCCAGCTACTATATTGAATTCCATACTTCCAAACAATATAATCATTATTTTCATATCATCAGTATAAGAGATGCAGTGTAGATCTGGAATAGGTAGGTACCTAAGTATCTTTTAGGTGAATGCAACATACCAACCTATCCATTCTTTCAAAAATCTCTGTCCTTTTTATATTTGGTACCTAGGTATATATACTTACTATCTAAATAATGTATGTATTTTGAAAACTGATTAATGAAGTTAATGTGCAATGCTGATATTGAGGTACCTGGAGGTACCTTAATTTATATATTACATCATTGCTCATCTGTGATTATCTGAAAAATTAGCAATTTCATATGAACAACTGATATTTCTTCTATTTGTTTCAGCTCGTAGATAATATCCATGAGGTTCCTCATTCATTATAGGGAAGTGATCAAAAATTAAATCAAACTAATACCCCATGAAAAAATGGACACCTGGACCCCAGCAAGTTGATGCTATAAGACATGTCATTATCATCACAAAACTGAAAGCACAACATCCAAAATCATCCTTTGATATAAAATGTACCTACCCAGATGGTGAGTTTCATCTTACAAAATATTTGTCAATATATAATGTTCAACTTGAAAAACATAATCTCAAAATCATGCAAAACCATAGTAGTTTTATTGGGTCAAAAATTTTTAACAGAGTTCCATCAAAATTGAGACGTTTGAATATTGTTGTTGTTGAACATTTATTTTCAGTTATCTTTAATGTTCATAGAACAGTTTCTTCCCTAGGGATTTGAAATGTTTTTTTTTTGCAAAAGAAGTTGAATTCAAAAATGTATATTCAATGATTTTATTTGATGTATAAGATGATATGGATGCAATAGAGTGTAATGTGTTTGGAACAATATTAAACTGGCATTTAATTTTTTTTTTCATAATTTTTTCTTCAACACCTATCATAAAGTATATATATAAACCTCAGCACTAAAGTGTTTTCAAATCCCTAGGTGCATAATGTACTATTTTTCAGATTCTGGAGAAGACATTTGTGGTTCAAATTTTTGCTTCAAGTTACATATTATTTGAATATCAAATTCAGGGTGATTCATTAAAAATGGGATATCTCTCAACTATAGATAGTAAACACTACAATATTGAGATTTAGCCTTACATGCCTAATAAGAATGTTGCTGGTTTAGGAGATACAGGGTGTTCTAGGGGGAGATTTAATTTCAAATTTTCTCAATAACTTTGTGAGTTTCAACAGCATGAAGATGAAATTTTGTAGTAAACCTGTTTTCTGACATGAGAAATACGAATTTGCAACTTATTTTGTGATTGCTCGTAGAGGGTGCTAGTGGTACTCTGTTAGTTTGGTAATTTTTGACATATTTTCTTTCATTTTGGGACAGCCTGTATTTAAAAAAGAAAACTATGCAATTTTAATTTCGGTCAGTGAATTATATTTTCCCGTTTATCATCACATTTCTTTAATAATGTAATTAGTAGTTGAAAAGTGTACAGGTTGCGTCATTTCTTTGTAGCAGGACTTCAACAGCGAGTTCACTTGAACATATACATACATGGGAGCTTCCTTTCCCATAAACTACAGGGAGTCAAAGATAAAAATGTTTCAATGTTTTTCTAGTTTTTTCCTCTAATTTCAATAATAAAGAATTGAAATTTTGTATACCTCAAATACTAAATATTTGGGGCTATTAGGCGATTCTGATTACTAACAGAGTGATACACTTTCGGGAGGTTGTACCCAATTTAACCCTCTTGAACTTTACTGTGTGCTCCCTCTCCTTTCAATGAAACATTAATTCTGTGTAATGTTTGGATTATTTTTGCTCTCCTTTAATCATCGAAAGCTTATTTCATGGATGTGTCAAAATCAAGTCAGTGGCAAGAGTTGAAAATCCAAAAAATATATCATCTGTTTATCGGAAAAGGAGCTCCTATGCATATTATGTTCACTTGAGATTTTTTACCTTAAAATAGTATCTTCTTCAAGCTGTTGAAGTCCTGCTACAAAAAACTTACTCACCCTGTATAACAGTATCTGCTAGTTGAGTGTAAGATTACATAGTGCAGAAATTCAACTCCTCTATGATTTTATTTTCAATTCAACTGGTTTTTTTTTTCAGGTAATTTTCAATTTGGATTTATTGAATATTGTCACTATGTTTCCAAAGAATTTTACCCTTCATAATGCTTCGAATCTGACAAAGAAAGCAGCCAAAAATGAAAGCCATGCCCCTTATGAAAGGTTGACTGATGATTTGGATTCAACCTGTTACTATGATCTCAAAAAAAGGAGTTTAATAGACTATATCCTGAAATACAGCATTTGTCACTGAATATGCTAATTCTGTCATATTTACATAATTCAATAACATATGAAATATTTAATGAATATAATAAATTTATTTATACATCCATGGTATCCAGCAAATAAATTGGATTATTTTCACTTTTGATAGAAAGCCAAGTTCAATGAGTAGTGTGTCATATTCAAACTGATGAATTTTTCAGAGAGTCAACTCAATTTTCTTTCACAGTCTCCATTCAGATGAGTTTTTTTCTTTGTGAATTTGAAGTTGTGATTTTCATTTTTTAGAATGTAGATATTTTATACCATTATACTATAATTTTATGAGTGAGGTAGGTTTTGTGAATATAGGAATTATATAATTACATATTTGGTTTCACTTCCACAAGCTGTAATTCAACTTTCTATATTTTTTATGCACTGCTATAATTTCTAGAAATATATCAATATGGTTGAAAAAATTTAGGTAGGTACTCATATTATTCTTATGTTGTACTGATATGCAAATTTCAATATTGCCCATTGTTAAAATGTGAAACAGAAGATATACCACTCTTTGGAAGATATGTATTTGATTGAATTATTCAATATTTTCTGAATAGCAGCCTTACACATTTGCTCATCAGGATATAATAGAATATGTTTAGTATCAAAGTCAGGTTCCTTCAAATACATTCCCTCAGTTCATTGAGGAATAGCTGGAATTCAATGATATCAAAGACAAGTATCAATAATAGCATAATCCTATCAAACATTTTACCAAGATTGACACATTTAATTATGATTCAGAACTTTCTTGAAATATAATTAGTAGCTATCTTACCTGTTAGTACATGATAAATAGAGATGCATTGATGGTTTCACAAAAATAATGTGTTATGTTACATAAGTATAATAACTTTATTCATGAAATGGGTATGATATAGTAGGTACATATTGAGATAAGAGGTAAGTACATATTCATCAGAAAGGACACTAGGGTTAACATCATTTCATTTTGGAAATGAACTTGATACCTCTTCATTCTGAGCTCATCAAAATCTCCACATTTAGAATTCTCACTGGTATTTCTCCATAATTGAAATAAAATAGAAGGCAGCAACATTATTTATTACATGTAGGTAGGAATGGTTTTCCACAACCCTCAACTCCGAAGTAGGTAAAGTTTCTTTCTTCACATATTTATCATCAGTTCCCAGGAAATGTTCAATAAATTATCCAAAAGCAATCACAGGTGCATAATTGATAAGATTTTCCGGATTATTGTAGGTCTTGTTTAGATGATAGCAAAGGAAATAAAACTGAACTATCCAAAAACTATGTATGTATGTACACACTACTGTCGAATCCCAATTGTCAAGCCTTCCATTCTGTTTGTTATTTTGGGGACATCCATGTATAACGAAACTGCGAATGAAACTTTTCAAATACTGAAAAACACTATTTTTAGATTTTTACATTTGTTTGACATTATACCGTCAACCGTCACTATCCGACATCAACAACAACAAGCTCTCTCTACAGTGACAGATCTGATCAGAAGATCTTGATCGCATAGAATGTCAGAATCATAGAATCAAAGAGAAACAGAAATCATCGGTAAAGTCGAAATTGGGCTTACCGATAATCTATCGTGCCGCCATCTACACACGAGCCGTGAAATATTAATGGGGTTGTGAACCCGGCTATAAAAAGTCTACAGTTTTTGGAGAATAACAAATGAAGAGCTGTTTCACCATATATCTATCCACCTTTATTCCTACCAACGAAATACATATACTACTACTATACATTTCAGGTGTTGACCTTCCTTTGTCACTTAGTATAAAAAGTCAATTGAATGATTCCTCATACACTACACCTTTTTTTGCAAATGAACATATTTTCTCAACTGACGATTGAGATTTTTGTTTACAACAATTTAGTTAACGGGAGACAAACAGCTGATTCCCTGGCAAATGCAACGTAGATCAATGTATGATATCCTCCCGAAATATATGCAGTGTTTTTTTTTTCATTAGTTCTAGACGTCACTCATTGCAAGTCACTTAAAATCCTGGACTGTGTTTTCGTTAGGTCAGGAATTCAGTTCAGATTTAGATCTTGGGATCGCTGTCTGGTGACTGTGCCCTGCACTGATGAGAGCAAATAGAACGAGACCTGTCTGCAGGTGGTTAGGAGGTGCATTACTTCAAATCAATCATTTAGAAGAAAAACGTTTGCAATTAGTATTGTTAATAGGAATCACCCCGTATGTTATTGAGAAAGCCCTTGATTATTTACGAAATGTTCCATCAATACACCCGGATTTTATTTTTAAAACATCCAAATTTGAGATATCCATCTCCTGACTTAGATATTGTGTTTTTTGTTAATTTAGAAAATAATCGATACCGTTTCTATAGGGAAATCTCTTGGTGAATTCGCAAACCGGCATGCTGGAAATTCGTAATGGAACCAGTATTGCTACATCGTCTTCCGATCAAGTGGTGGTAACGAATAATGTCGATACTCCTGTTGAGTCCATCGAAATGATCCATAGGTATGTCTCAGTGCAGATTATTTTTCTTGAAAATTCTTGTTTCCAATCTTTAAGTTGAATGGGGAAGTTTTTTATATGAAGTTATGAGTTTGTGATTTGTCCGTACAGTTCTAGAAAAAATATTGTAAATGTATTTCTATTTTTTTGTTGGACAATCAAATTTGCCTTCAGGCCTTGATTATAATACATTAACAAGATAAGCTATCTTCATAGTAAATGTTGAAGCAATTTGAGGCCTTAATGTCTACCGGTTTTCAATTGGCGCCAGTGAAATTCTGTAAAATATGGGGGATTAATGATAAAGCATAATTATTGTACTGTGCAACAATTATATAATTTCAAGAACATATAACTCCTAGATTATTTTCTGGAGGTCATGGAACTGCAAAAATTAGATTCAGGAACAAGACACACCAAATCATCTCCACAACTTTTGATAATCAAATAAAGAAATAAATTATCTGAACTGGTTTCAGAATATATACATATAGTTCGCCATCAGCAGAAGGTTCAAAGATGTTTCTGCCGTCTGCTAAAGGCTGTTTCACCTAAACCACACATTAGATATATCTAAGTTCTAAGAATGACACTAATCTGAAAACTTGTACACAGTGGTTCAAAATATTTTCAAGATGGCTGCACTTCCGGCTATACCGAAAGTGGACGTATCAACTTCGTTATTCTAAATAGAAAGCTATATTTTTTTCTTATTTATCGCTTTTCCAGATCCCTTGTGTTATTTGAGATGATATACATCAGCCTTTCCTATACCTAAGTCTAGCCGTTTTCAAAATATGCAGTTTTTTTTTTAATTTGCTCATTTCTCTTTGAGAATCGAATACTCTGTCAATTTTTTAATATATCGGCATCATTTCCGAGAATGAGTAAAGCGAAGAAGAATTGATTGTGGTATATTTTTGATGGGGTGAAAACGATCAGAATTCTATAAAATTTGGGACAATGTTAGGGAGAGTTCAGTACCCATAACAATTTTTTTTAAATGGAATGGCATTTTTTTTCTTTTACTAAATGAAAGAGAATCAACTAGTAGGAGAGCCGGCTGCAAATTGGGACTGTCATCTGATAATGAATTCTTATATGTTCCAAAGGCATGCACAAACATTGTGTTTTATCGAACGGCTCCTGTGGCCAACCACTATCATGAGCAAAATGATTGAAAAATGGCGTAATTTGCACTCAATTTTGCGATTTGATATCGAGATAAGAATTATGCTGTCCTATTTGAATGGTAGATATCAAAAATCTTCCATTGGCCTCAATCTGAGTGAAATCCACGGCACAGATTCATTTGCTGCCGTTATTCCAAACATACCTCCGTCATGTGATAACGAGTTGATACAAAACACAAATGAATAGGAATAATGTTCCCTTTGCGAACATCCAAACGTGCCGCGATCCAAACTGATCTAAGTTAGTGGCATAGCGTCAATATTTCGCCCTTGCCGAAAAATAATTTCCGATGGATCGAATCGCGAAATCAAGTGCAAATTACCGCACAGAAAAGTGTAATGTTTCGATCATTTTGCTCAGGATAGTGATTGGCACAGGTGCCGTTCGATAAAATACAATGTTTTGCATGCCTTTGGGACATACATCATTTTAATCTATGGTAGAAGTCCATCTTATCTTGAATCCTTTCTCAGTTTACCTGGTTGTTTGAAAAATTTTTGTGAAAATTTTTGTTATTCATTTGATATGTGACTCATTACGGCCCTGCTTCTTTCTCGCCTCTCGTCTGATATTCTTTGTTCATGCCACAGGAAAGTTTTGTGTAACTTGTCATTTGAGACATGTTTACCATGATTTTCATGATGGCTCCATTCGAATTTTAATTACTTGGATGACCAAGTGTTGGTACCCTCCATAAAGCCCTTCTGGCCATGGGCACTTTGCCCTCCATTAATTGTAAAAATGTCATTTCATATTGAATAATATTATTGTTGCCCTCTTTTTTGATTTCCACGTGAGTACATAACCTAAAGTATAATTTTTTGTAACTATAAAAAATTTTTCTGTTATTTTTATTTATTGTAATCTCGATATCTTGCTATATCATATTAATCTGATAGCAAGTATTCAGTTTTATTTTCGAATACGATCATACAAACTATATCATGGAATTGAAATTGAGGTGAGATTTCAGATTATTCATTTTGTTGCCAATATTTATAATTTATGTAAATCAATCAATCTTTTGAAATTAACCATTCAACTGCATAGAATAATGACATTAGGATCAAACAAACAAAACAATTCAAACAAATTGAAGCCTTTGCGACATGATTTCACAAAAACTATAACTTATCAGTTTTCAGCCATACTTTTGATTTTAAGATGAGAGCTCAGTCCAGTATATTGAACTTGGAAACATCTGTTTCCATTCCTTTTTGATTTTTGTTTTGTTTTTACTATTCAATTTTCATCTTATGACAAATTATTATCCAGTTACACATTATGAGTCATGATCATGTTTTGCCAAAAGAAAATCGATCTTGACAGTAAAGCAATTTCGAAACCCAAATATTGGCTCTCTAGTTTTATCTTGAACCTATATTTAAGTGTACAGTTCATGTTTATTTACAGGGAAATCCATGGTACTGATGCTGTAATGAAACAAGAACCATATTTTGAAGAGGACAGGAAGCCAGAGGTTCCCTCTCAACAAATCGAAGATACTTCAGAGTCACAAGAAGAAGTTGAAGAAGATCAAAGTGAAGAGGCTCCAGAAGAGAGTGAAACTCAAGAGAGCCATGTGAACGGCGATAACGAAGATAATGTTCTGGAACAAGAAGAAAATCCTGATAAAGAGAATGAAAGTGAAGACCATGTTGATAGCAACGAAAACATGGGTACCGAAGAACCAATGGAAATTGATGAAATTGAGGAAAACGACAGAACGAAAATTAGCGAGAATGATGAACAAGGATATGCGACTCAGGTAAAAAACTACCGACATTTTTTCCTTCATGGCAATATAAAATGAATCTATTCAGAGTTTAACACATCTGAAATACAAAATTATAATAAGTCTGTGTAAAAATTTACTTCATCAATTGGCCATTTTAAAGAGATGGTTTTCAAGAATGAGTTTAATTAATCAAATGAAAAAAATCAGATTAGAAGATTAGCTTACTCTATAGTATTTATCGGAATAGGGTCTAAAAATTATCTGCAATAGTGATTGTCCAGGTATATCTCATCAAATGGACGCCCAAGGTTTTTGTCAACCAATTTGAGTCACAAAAAGAGAGAAGTTGTTAGGATTGAAGTGGCTCTAGAAGAAAGCAAAACTCAAGAGAGCCATTTAAACGGCAATAATGACTGTTGATTTAACCCTTTCTGAAACGTCTATAAAGTTTGAATTTAGTATGAATTTTCCTTCAGATGATAGAAGAAAATCATACTTCAACGTCCTCTTTCTTCATTGTGAACAGGCTATGTTTATAGAAACGGTTCAATTCAAAATTAACTACTGCATGTAAGTGAAGTTTTTGGGATACCCTGTAAACAAAGTATTTTGAAAATGTGTGTTTCTTCTAAATTCTATACCTCCATGTACATCCGGGCAATAATCTACCCCCCCACAGCGAAACATGTATTGAACAGGAGTGGTATTTGATGGCAGTTAGAGTTCCTCAATGTTCTTGACACTGATGTATTGACGTTTTTGTATATTAAGGCTATATTCCGATTTCAACTGACAGTACTGAATCTGCTGATTTTTCATTCAGTAATCGAATTTATTTCAAATATTTAGACTCAATATTCTGCAAATTGATGACCATCAAAATATAGTGTAGCTTCAGTGAACTGTCATTATTTTAGAGGAGAAGGAATGTCACATTCATTTCCGATGTTTTTTAAACATTGTCTTATCAATAATAAATTAATAATATATTTAATATCAGTAAATATCTGTTATTGAAATAATTGACGCTGAGGATGATATTCAAATTTCTTCAGCTGATGAACTGCTGCTGATTACTGATTAAAACCATGAAAACGTATTCCGAATTACTGCACTGTATTTTCTGACAGTACTGACAGTACTGACTAGTTGAATTCGGAATATAGCCTAAGACAGTCATACATAACCACAAATATATTGATGGAAAAAACGGGAACTGACAGTACACCAATGTACATGAGATTAATTTCGAAGGATTGTCACATTGAGAACATTGGGAAAAGTTTGAGCAGTAAAAATACTGGGAATGAAACATAGTCACTGCGGAACTGTGGTGTACCTATTTAAGGGACGGATTGTTTGTGAATCGCTTCCATCAAAGTTGAAATCCCTAGTCAGAACTCCGAACTTGTGCATAATTGAGCAGTGCGGGGTCTCTACAACTTGAACACAATTTATTGTACGTCCCATTGGAAGTAAGATTTTTTTCTTCCCGTGGAAGTAAATTGACAGGTTTGAGTCCCTAAATGAGGAAGCAAACGCTTACTTTTGATGCAGTAAGTAGATAAAAGTATGTTTTATTAGTTTCAATTAATCAACTTTTACCCCATTCTGAACATTTTTTCTAAAAAAATTATTGAATTGAACCACGAACGTAAGTATAAATACTTCCCACTCAGTTTATGAAAATTATAATTATACATTATAATAAACTGAGTGGAAAGTATCTATTATAATTTGTTATTTCATAGTACCTAATGGTATATGTACTTCGTTGGTATATATGTACAGCAGATGTAAAGAACATGTCACGGTTGGATGGTGTTAGCACGTGTTAGCGCTCTTATTGCAGAAGTGACTAGAGGTGCTATCACCGCCAATGTGCGACATGTTCATTGCACCGGACTGTACATACCAACGTGCTATCGGCCTCCATTGCGGTCCTGTATCCTTATTATTCCATATTTCAAGAAGAAATAATTTTTTAATTGAGTTTCCCACTGGAGGAGACGCTATGAAAATGAAAGAATTGTCTGTTCAGTGAATCGAAATATGTCTGCCTGTCGAGTGACGCTGGGGAAGGGAATATGGAAAGAGCTTATTCGTTTATGTCAAAATAGACAATATTAGGTTGACATTCTCTTCTTCTATTCTTCTTCAATCTGTACTCAACCACAGACCTGATTTCCATCATTGACGTGATATTCGATACGAGGGCGATAAAAAAGAAGATTCTTTCATGAGATGTCTTAATCTTAATTATTTTCTGACAGTTGTCATTAACTTATAACTTCGTCTTTGTGGATTTGCTGAACTTGAATTCGAATCCTTATAAATTACAATTATACCTAATTATTTCTTCTAGTGTTGGTTGTTCTATTATAGTTTGTTGATTGGTTTGTGAGTGCGATTGTGTTATTTTGCAACGTCATCTAAAAACTTCGCACTCCAGTAGGTGGAGGTGTAAAACTATCAAGACATTTTTCCCCAATCCCCACTATTGTGAATTTAAGCCTAAAAAATTCTGAGGGATCCATGGATTTATGCAATATTCATTGGATACCACGGTGAAATATTTTCTTGAATCACATAATATTTGAAACGTAATGCATTTACATTTCAGAAATGGGGATTTTCGAGTTAAGCGAACATGATACTGTATGTTTCCAACATTTCAAAGGAACTATTTCTTTCCAATGGAGAATGGTAAACGGTTTTTGAAGTAGGGTTGTGTTCCAAGTTTGCTCACTATTAATCGTTAAAAAGTCATAAAATCTTCCTAAAGAATCATTTTTATGAATTATACACCATATTATTTTATGTAATGCTTCAATTAGCAATCACCTAGAGTGTGCCTGGATAATTTGGAATACATATTACAATGAATACATCCAAAAAACTTTGAGTGTTCAGAAAAATTTACTAATATCTTGACATATAAATTCAACAGAATTATGAAACAAAGTTGACACATTTTGATCTTCATAAGCTTTCTTCAAGGTGATTGGTATTTTATATTCGTTGTCTCTTTTAGGATTTTGAACGATCAGGTGGACAGCTCGTACTCAATGAGTTCCTAGTCTCAACTTCAATACTGAACCCAAGGGCACTTACTCTTCTAACTTGTTTTATATACAGAACCAAAACACTAATTATGAACGGAATTTGCCAGTAGTTACCATGCAAGTAACTTACAACCAGTTCTTCACCCATCTTGATTTGTTCAGTCAAAGAGCAGCTACAGTTGACAAATGGGCTTTGTACGTTTTAAAATCGTGACCTTCTTCGTATCTTCAGTTCTTAATTTCAATTTTCAGTTTTCAGTTTTGAATTTAGGATTAGGATAGCTAACGTCTTACCACATTTGTATTTTCGTGGGGAAATTCTGTAATTGGAACATGTGTTCGGTTGAATTACCTTATAAATAAGTAAATAAATAAATAATGCAAATAATTGGGCGAACATTGAACATTGAAAGCAAGGACGCCTGCTTGATGCCTGAATATGGAATCATTAAAAACATTTCCCTACTCAGACTGATTTACAAGTGTATTATTTCAAAAAGCCAGCAGGGCTGTCCAAAAACTAAAGAAAGAAACTACTTAAAATTGGAAGCAGGCCCCATAACGAATGCAAAAGCGAACTTATTTGTCTAGTCCCACCTCTTTCCAGGATTCTTGTGGTGAAAAATTAATTAATACAAGTACAGAAGAAGATGACGAGCAGTCAGCCCCACTCGAAAATCGAGAAGACCAAGAAGAAAACGTTGACAGTAAGGAACATGAAAGAGCGCAAGAGGAGGGAGCCGACGTACCCCCTGAAAAACCAGCTGAAACTGAAGAAGAGGAAAATGTCATCGTCAACGATCCCGCGAATCTTCCTGATCAACCGGCCAATTCGTCCATGGAAGACAATATCGAGGGAGATGATGAGGTCGAGAGAATGGATGTTGACGGGAAAATTGCGGAGAAGCAAGATCTTGATGAACAAGATCAGGAACAGGATCAGGAGCATGAGCAAGGAGATGAAGAGATGCCCGAGGAAGAAAATTCTAGTCTGCCGGAAGGTAAGGAACTTTTTGTTATCGCTTGGTGCGCACGAAAGAGAATCCCTATAATGAGGAACATCGTGCGTTCCTAGGGAGGATAGGGAGAGGAGGTAGGTGTTGATTTTTTTTAACTCTTGGTTGGAAATACTTCCTCAGGCAATGCATTCCAGAGCTTTCTCGTTCTATACAGAAACGAGTTTTGATGTAGTGCTCTTCGACATATTTCGACGTTGACAATGAAAGGATGTGCTGCCTGTGGTTGTCAAGTTTGTCTGGCAGATATTGTTACCCTACTTAGTGTTTCCTGGGAAGAAATGGGAATTCTAGAAAAGAACGCAGTATGGAGAGTACTATCTGAATATGTGATGATATATTATTGGCTTTGACATTGCACGGCTGAAGCATTATGATTGGATTTTTTGAGTGACCGAAAAAACCTCAATTCTTCTACCAGCTTCGAGTCATATTAATCGAAATTATGTATTTGGAAATGATAAATTCTAATATTCTGCCTGACGTATTATTAATTCAATTTTTTATATACAGAGTGTTGCAAAACAGCGCTGTACTGAAAATATTCTAATTATCTCTCGCATCATAGAAATTGCGCCACTATCCATCATTTGAGAATCTCTTTATTCAATTTCTTTTTTCCAATTTGACCTACCTACTATTTTGAGTACATTTAGATACAAAATGATTCGTTATTTTTTTCTGTGACGGGAAAAGAGTTTGACATTTCATCTCTGTTGACAGGTTACAAAATGTCACTTTTTATAAATTACTAATTTCCCACGGGAAAAAAGTGAGTACGTGCACTGTTGATGGCTTCTGTTGTGTAAGCCAAAAACACCATCTCCGAGAAAGAACTGAAAGTCTTCTTTATCTTCCATTCCACTTCGCGGTTATGTAAATTACTAAACAACCACTTGAATCGTAATTTTTTAAAATCAAAACAGAATTGAATTGACAGGTATTAGATTACTTCAAAAGGTTTCTATAGCAACAATAGAGATGTCTACAAAAAGATGCCTGCAACACATATATCATACCTAGCAAAAACTTCAAATTTCACATCGATAATTTTCTGATTTCATTATAATGTAATATCTTCTCAATATTGAATCGTCGTTTTTCCTGTCACAGAAAAAATAGTGTATTATACACGGGAAAAATATCCAATACTTTTTCCATTGTATAATACATACCTATTTTCAAATGACCGATAAAAGTCATATTATCAAAATTAGGTATTCAAAGATTAAAAAATGGTAATAATTTCCACCTGATGTTGCAAAACAGCGCTGTTCTGAGATTATTTGAATTTTCTCTCGCATTATAGTAATTGCGCCCATAGCGGTCTTTCCAGAACATTTTTCTTCAATTTCTCTTTTTCTTGTGGACCACAACAAATTGTATGATTTTCCGGGGGTTTGTTGGGTTCGGAAAATTTAAATGTTTGAAACATTTTTGATGATCGAAAAAGATCTTCAGGCGCGAGATAATATACGTGAATGGAGAACGGTTTTCAAGGCTGCGAAGGCATTCAGAAAATAATTCTAGGGTATCGAAAATAATTACAGTTTATCAAGTCATTTGAATATGCTGAAATTCGGTGTGTAGGTGGTATTTTTTGACTTATTCAATGGCGGGGAAGTTTCCAATATTGAGGTTTATATCACACTGTGAAGTATGTGAGAAATTAATATATAATATATCTTGCAACAGCGCCTAATACTTCAAGTCCGTCCACACACTCTAGTCCACACCACTCAAAATACTGACAGGCGCAACAGGAGGAAGGAGCCATGGGTGTCGGCTGCATTCTGCTCTGACCGATGGCAGTAAATAAGGAAGAATAGTATCATGGAATGTAGCCGATAGTGATTCATTTATATTTTCGTTTAGGATCGAGCTCTATTCGAGATATTTCAATGCATAAATAACAAAACCATAACCTGTCAGAATGAAGACAACTACCGTCTTGTGGTTTTGTATGTTTTTGTTCACCAGTTTTACTTCTTCTATTTTTTTCCTTCGTTTTTCATTCGTTAGCTATTCACTAGCTATATTCTTCACCATCAGCTATTTTCAGACTTGATTCAGAATGTACGTCACAGTTTGCCGCCCCGAAAATTACAAATTGCTCATCTGAAGAAAACTTCCCTATGTTTTTCCATTATATTAGGTTTGACCGGAACTGATTCTTACATTCTCACTTTAAATAGGTAAATTTTCAAAACATTCGATAGAAAATCACATTGTGAATACTTCATCACCTTTTTGTTACTATTTACATTCAGCATCTTAGAATAATCAATTTTCAGTCTAGAGTGCGATAAATGAGTTGAAATACTTGATTTTGGATCATGTCAGGGAACATTTTTACATAAAAAATGATGATTGATCGAAAGGGGGTTCACTTTATATTTCATAATATAGTAAAGAGTAGTACGCCTTCTAATTAAAATATTGTGCAACACAAATGAATCCATATTTTCCCAATAGGACTTACCCAGCCTGAGGAACCACAAACAGAAGAATCGCAACCAGAAGAATCGCAACCAGAAGAATCGCAACCAGTAGAATCGCAACCAGAAGAATCACAACCAGAAGAATCGCAACCAGAAGAAACCACCACAGAGGTTCAACCAGAGGAACCACCTGAAAGTCAAGATCCAGTTACAAATGAAGAAGTCAATGAAGTCACATTGGAGAAGAACGAAGATGTTTGCGAAGCATCAAGAGAGAATGACAAGACATTGGCAGAAGGTGGCAGTACGTTGAGAAAAAACGAGACCCAGGAGAAATCGAAGAAAAGCCAGGTCGATATCAACAAGGCTATTCTTGATGATTGGGGAGAAGATGATACAGATTCACAGCAGAGCGAGAAACACGTTCAGGAGGTATGTAATATTAGTACTAATTGAAAAGCAATTTGAGATTATCCAAATTGCCTAAAGATGAACTGTGAATGACAAACATTCACACCCTTTAATTCAAAACTTGGCTGGATTCAAAATAATCAAGGGTCGACTTATCAATCGCTAGTTGAGTCAAATTAGATATGAGCTAAGGCTCAACCTCTAGATGTACTGTTTAACTCATAGTTAATTTCTGACGCTGACATATTATATTTCATCATTAGTACAATAATAATAATAGTACTTTATTGAACCCCCATATTATCCAAAGGGTTCTTGACCTTATACTAACCATGGCTTGGCTATCATAAACATGACAACTGGGAAAATTAACAAAAAAGAATGAGTATAGGTATGTACATTAACAAGAAAAATGAACATTGAAATCATGACAGATATCGTGGTTAGCAGTGGCCATACATTCTATTTCTCGTTCTATTTCCTCCAGGGGGTTTCTTCTGGATATTTGTAAGAGTTGTGAGTGTTGGGATCCCTTGTGCAACAGAATCTTATCACTATTACCAATTTCTCATCTTTCTTCTTTTTTTTTTGTTTTCTGTTTCGTTATTCGGACATGGTCCATACAGCCAGTCACTCATGTCTATTTTTCATTGATACTAAATCCTACCAGCAAAATTGGAAACTTGAATAGAATAGAGTCACTGAATGTTATTAGTTTGATAAGAGTTCGGACACAGAAATGACAACGGTTAGGGTTTTTGAATGTTCAGATTTATTAAGTTGCACACCTTGCATTGTGACAAGAGTCCCATAGTCGTACCGCGCTTTTTCATTCAAAATTGTTTGAATTTGACATTACATTTTATAAACGTCAGAATTGGAATAAAATTTCATAATTATACATTCGAGATAAAAGCAGCTATGGAAATTACTTGCTGTGTAATAAATTGTGCCTATTCTGAAAAAATGGAAATCATTTATCAATTTTCCGAAACAAATATCAACCATTCGCTTATGGAAGGAAGATGGCCTGGGTGCAGAATCAATTTGGAGACGAGCGAAATTTGCGAGGTAAGTACTCATTGAAATTTACTTTTTATAACAGCATCTGATTAGAATGAAATTATATTTTAGGTCCATTTTCGAACAGAAGATTTCGAAATCTGTTTGTGAGAATCTGCTGTTCCATCAATTTACAAAGCAGGCGAATTCGAGAACAAAATTCCATTATTATCATCACACAAAATACAAAACCAAATAATCATGGAAAAGAGGAAATGATCGCAAAATTACATAATGAAATTGAGAATTTGAAAACGGAACCAAGAAAAGCATCAAGTAAACTACAAAGTGATATATTATACTGAATGGCGTTTTTGGTGCCGACCAAATTTGAAATTCAACAGTGAGAAGTAAATAGTTATTTATGTATCAACGGAATTATTATAAGGGCCTTAATTACGCTGGACGTTATCGTTTTGGAGATATTTTCTATATCGATCCATGTTACTTAGCTCCTAGGGCGCTAAGTGGAGTTGCTGAGAACTTTACAAAACCAAGTATTTGGTATAGGTCTCGTCAAAATGAACTACCTTTTTTCCTATCAAATGTTTATTGAAAAATGATTTGTTCTCTGTATTTCAGCACCCTGTATCTCCGAAATGAAGCATTTCCGGACACAAAAGCTTATTTAGACTTTATTTCTTATAATTGTCTCAGGAATACTTAACTTGAAAGTACTTATGTTACTTCCTGTATACTGAGAATACCTACCTTTAATATAAATACCTTCATGTTTTATACTCATCACTGGAGTACAGTTTCACATACAATAAGGAATTATAGCCATAACTTTATCCATATGTGTATATTTTCTAATATTAAAATGTTGTTACATGCATTCTTTTCATTTATATAACAGTTGTTCTGCTAGAAGTGATCACTATAAATTGAAGTGGGTGTTTGTACCCTATACCCATTGTCCATCTACGGCTATGATTCATTTGACAGAAAATATAACCTCTAAAATCGTATCTGACAATCAGGCACTACTAGGGAAATTGAAAAGACAAAGAGCAGAATATATGTCTTATTCTTTTATTCACTTAAACCATTGTATTATAGAAAATAGAAAAGGACAAAAGTTCAGCTGTGTCCGAACTCTTATCAAACTAATACCATCCAGTGACTCTAGAATAGAAGAGAACACCAGGAAAAACATGGGATCTCATCTTTCTTGCAAAATCTTTTCGCCAGGGCCAAGGGTATTTCTTCTAGTGGGGGAGGGGTTGTGTATAAATTGTTATAATTATATGGTTGAAGAATTAGACTCTTGTAGTGGAGATGAAGATGTAGAGATCATAGTTTATGAGAGAAGGCCATATAAACTACGCAACACTAATTTAGTCGCACCCCAAAATGTTGCCCCTGTTATAATGTGAATAACTTTTTTTTGTTTGGAAAAATTTGAATTTGGTTCACACTGTTTGCTAGCCCAGTCATTCAGCTATAATCTCGTACTACTTTGTAACATAAGGGTCTTCACATAAAATCTCTACATGGTGTTTCCTGAAACTGCAAAATTTAGGAATATTCAGAATGATTGATGTGACATGGAATATAACCTCTAAAATACTACCTGACAATCAGTGAAGCAGTGTCGAGCGCGGTTAGTACTTGTATGGGGTGACCATTCGAGGAAACGTCCTGTAAGAACGTACATCTGTAGCGTAATATCATATCATAGCTTCAGCTACCATATCAATGAGCACAAGATATGGTACGGATATGCCGTCCTTCGGAGGAGACGTTAAGGCTGTGTCAAGGCATTCCTTCGACCACAGTGGTGATACCAGGATGGTCAATGGTTGACTTGACTCCCATCAAAAGTTAACGTGGTAACTTTGTGGGCAGGTTTGAAACGTGACCGACATTCCCAAACAGCTGGTTGGTCAGACTGATGGTCAGATTTCACAGTGAACATATGTGCCTGGTCAAACCACAGACTTGACACAGCCTAAGCCGGCGGTCCGAGGCCATGGATGTTGGACTCGTTAAAGATCCCTACCTGTGGTTTGAACACCAGAGGATTCGGCAATATTTCCGGTTGGGGGTAGTGTGCTCACCGGCGTCGGCCTCAGTAGCAGAAAAGGGCCGACGTTAAAGAAACAAGGAAGAAGAAGACCTGACAATCAGGCGCTACTAGGAAATTTGAAAAGACAAAGAGCAGAATATATGTCTTATTCTTTTATCCACTCAAAGCATTGTAATATAGAAGAGGACAGAAGTTGAGCTGTGTCCGAACTCTTACCTAACTAATACCATCCAGTGACTTATAACTCCAAATCTTCGAAAACTTCAAAAATATCCTTCATGGTGCTCAGAAATCTTGAGCCTAATTTTCCTATTTAAAAAAATTCGAAAGCCCAATTTTTTTGAAAAGTAACCCTCTTTTTCCTCTCAACCAGTGAATAATACACTGAAAAGTGGGAGGATTTCATGTTCAAATCACCTTCCTCTCAATTCTAAAATGAAAAGTTTTTGCTGAAACTTGAAAATACTGAAACATTCGTGGTTATTGAAGAATTGCAAATACTAAATGATATCATATGGTATTGACTTGACAAAAGAAACAAACGGTTTTGTTATTCTCAACACTACAATCCATGAATGTGGTCTGCCTTCAGAAATTATCTAATAGCGAATGCCATTGGCTGGAACTGGTGGAGTGTTTCTTCTCTATATCACACATGCGATTAAGAAGGACACATATACATTGAGTACAAAAACACCAGTTCCTGCTAGTGGAGAATTCTCTATGAATGAGATCGAATGTTTTTTAATAAGACAATTTGGCTCCATTTTCAGAGCACACTGTAGAATATTTTTGATAAGTTCTCAAAGATTTGGACAGCTATCCGTATCATGTCTGTATGTACAGGGTGATTACTGATTGTTTATATTTTACTCAGTAGCTACCTCAGTTAATGTTGGTTCTATTAAAACGTTGAAATGGTTAAAAAGTAATTTTTATGAGCATTCAGAATTCAGTACTAGGAAATGCAGAAAATGATCGTAAACCTAAATATTCTACATAAACTTCGTTCTACAGCTGCCATAGAATATATTTTTCTAAAATTGAAAAATATATCCCCGATAAAGTATATACGAGGTGTACTTGAAATAATTTCTCATCCTCGGCACATCGATATGATACATTCTAACGAATAATATTCCCATGGTATCAGATTTTTTCTAGTTTCATTGATTAACGATAAATTTCATCCCGAAAATTTGGCGATACGTCGAATAAATGGTGACGTCAGCTTTTATGCTGTTTTGTTATTGGTCAGAAAATCTTCCATTCCCACTCACGAAGCAAGGTTATCAAGTCACCAATTATAATCCAGTTATCAAAAAGATGTGAGATTCGTGCAGTTGAATAAAACATAATAGGACGAACCCATGATATCATAGTTCATTCTTGACTTTTTCGAGCAACCAGCATGTCCAAATTTTTCTTATACTCCATAACAAAATATCATGTAAATGTTGGAGACTTGGCAACATTGTGCTAAATGCTGAGAAGGGACAAGACCACGCCCACAAGTCGTGCGCGCCGTGTTGTCACGTTCACCGCTTCAAATGTCTTCTAGTTTGAATCAATATAATTATTATTTACACAAATAAGCCACAAATCATATGGGAACATTTTTTTGAGACAATTGATTTTGTATTGCTAAATAGGAATATCACCAATACATCAATGAGAATTTATGAATGTTTGAAAAACTAATATTTCTGAAGTTCCCAATCGTATCGTATTTCAACACATGGCAACTGTGCTATGGTCTGCCACTACTTACGAAATCGTGACGTCAGTTTTCACTCTCGGTAAATGTCTATCCGTTTGAAAATTACCGTGGCATTATTGATGATTTCAGCACCTAAAAATCGAACGAAACATTCTAAAAAAATATTAAATTGAAAGGTATTTGTGTGGATTCTATTTAAGAAATAAAAAAATCAGTCCACTCGCCTATTATGGAATAACACCCTGTATACGTATTTTTTCCGTAAAATCAACTTGTCAATACAATGTTGTCGGTCATCAATATGTCTAGAATTCCGGAAATTGTTCTTTAATTAGTTATTAACGTTACAAGGCCGATATGAAGCAAATAACGGATGAGGTTGAATATTGTAATCCGAGGCGCTGCCGAGGATTTTAACAAACGAATTCGTTATTTGCGTATCGGCCGTGTGTCGTTCAATACTTCTCGAAATCCCGCTGAAATATTACATTTTGATTCCGAGGAAAGAGCAAACCACGGCCGACGGCCGTTAAGCAATCTTAACGGACGGAGGCTGTTAACATTACCTTTTCAATTGTCATCTGAATACCGTTAGATCAGATAACAGTATGGGTTTACGAAAATTTATAACAATATCATAACACCAAAGGATATTAGTTTTTTTAATCCTACTTCGTCGAGTATTATAAATTATTTTTTATTGATCTCTTATTTGCTGGCTGAAGTTGATAACTAATAAAGGTTCATTATGATATTTCGCAAAAGTATCTATAATTATTTACTTTCGTTATATTACAAAATGATATTCATAACTTGCCAATGAATTCGTTCCTTTATAAAACGGATATATTTTTTAGAACTTTCCTAGATTATTGAGCCCGTCCACACCACATAAAATACTAACAGGCACACTGACAGCTGATCTGATATTGTGGTTATGTATATTTTTGTTTACCAGTTTTACTTGTGTCGATTTTTGATCTCCAGTTATTTGTTAGCCTATGTCTACAGTTTATAGCCCTTTTTTAGTTAGGTAATCATCGCTATTTTTATGATATAAACATCACCCACGACGCCAATTTGTCTTCTTCTATTTTTTATTCGTTTATTCGTTAACTATTCGCTAACTATATTCTTCATCATCAGCTGAATCCAGACTAGATCTAGAAAGTACGTCACAGTGTGCTTCCCCTCTCCAAAATTTGAAATTGCTTGATTTTTGAAATAAAATTGACTTGGACTTCATGGACAATGCTGTGAAGATGGACATGAAACTGAGGAGGTCCGAGTTTATTTTATAAAAATTATTCTCAAGGAAACTTCCCCACGGAAATTTGAACAGAGGTAACGTTAGAATTGCTACAGTGTTGAACTTTGGGTGGAAAAATGGGTCTCACCCCAAATTTTATTTAAATCCCTATATTTTTTATTGGTGCCAATCAAAAGTATATGTGGAAGTCGAGCTTGTACAGGATTTGAAATATTTGCACTTATTTCAATGTCACCCTGTATATTTGAAATCAGAAGAGCTCTACCGATTAGGAAAATGAAATACAGGGTCTTCCATTTAAAAAATAACAGTTTGTGTAAAATTTTCAGGTTGACGATGCTTTGTTGCATTTTTTAGCATTAGATTCTGTATGCCCATAAAAAATACCAAATTTTTGCCCATTACAACGTTCCGATCTGTAATACCAATATTGTCTGAGATAGCTATTTTAAAATACAAACAAGCACCCTGTACGTCTTGAAAATACTACGTCTGAGTGGCTTAGATTTCGGATAACCTTTTATGAAAGGTTATGCATGTATCCAAAACTCCTAGACATAAGCGGCGTTCACAACCAAACTTTTTACGTTTTGCTTTTTACGTCTCGTATTCTGATTGGTGAAGCAGAATCTGAAATTAAACGTGAACTAAACCAATGCAAATGTCATTCACAACAACAAAAAATCAACGTGACTTTTTATGGCTCAGTTGCCTTGGTTTTGTTATTTGTTTTTCATCCAGAAATAAAGTAAATAATCATAACAATAATATTTATTAGATTATAATATTAAATTGATAGAACTGGCGGTGACGAAAATTGATCCCTATTCAATACTTGAAGAGAAAAATCAATCTTCAACAAGAAAATAATGAATTGAACAGTATACCTATCTAATATTCTGTGGATTCACCAATTTTAATATTATTACAGAATGTTCCATATTATTCGTCTAATTTTACTATTTTCACAGACGATGGCTTCTTGCAACGCAAAAAGCTGAATATTTTCATCTTTTTGCGTCATTTCAATTACAGATTTTGCTTCACCAATCCGAATACGAAACGTAAAAAGCAAAACGTGAAAGGTTTGGTTGTGACCGCCGCTTTATACTGTCTGTAGACATATATTCCGAATGAAATTACATTGGAATACAGCATCGAATCGAAAAAATCAATGAAAAATTGTACGCTTCATGTGAAATAACGAAGTTGAGGTCCAATTCCGGTGTCACCGGAAGTTGCAGAAAACTGAAAATATTTTAGTTGAAACGAGCACTTTGGAGAACACCCGTATAAAAAATTTCAAAAACTAGTCTCAGTAGTTTCGCATATATCGACTCAGCTTATCGTGAAAGACCCTGAATATGATGTGAATCGACTAGTGACTATAATTGTCGCAACTCAGATGTTGACCCTCCTATAGGTCGTAACTTAGCTACTCGCTTGGCTTTTTGACGAGAGGTTTTGATCATTTCACCACCCAACTACATTCATCCCCAATTGAAGAGTCAAGACAGTTTTCATATAAAATTTGGCATTTATTGGTTTAATGAAAAAATCGCGGATAAATGCTTGCCACATGGCAGGTTAGTAAAGAAATAGTAGATTGTGAATGAAACATGCTATTTTTTCTGCAACAGAAACAATTAACTCAAATATAAACATGTGAAGTAACCACCAATGCCGTGCCATATGTATGCAATGCAACAAATATTGACAAATAATCCATGTGCTGAGAATATTCTACCTGCATTAACAGCAGGTTAGGTTTTCTAGGATGTTCGAATTGTAGTTTCAATATAAATACAACCACAGAGTGACATATTTGTGCATGGACCAGGAGCTCTAATGGCAAATACCGCGCCAGTGCCAGCTATAGGAACAAGACGTGGAAAATGTTAGGTTAGTGAGCATATCAACAATGATAATAGTGATTATTTATTCCTCTCCATACTGGCATACTACACTGTGTTTTGACTTGATAATCAAATGAGGCTAAACAATATCGTTGTTTGAGACAAAAAAACTATTGCTTACCGTGATTATTCAAAAACAAGTTATCCATCCCGAGAATAACGAATGAAATACAGATCACGCAAGTATTTGAATCTTGAAAGCTCCCCTGATCAGAACAAAAATACTTAACTGAGATGTTTATAATCAAAATACTAAACTATAATAAGGTGTATTTATATCTCCAGCATGGGTATGAAATGCCAAATCTGCTGAAATCGGAAACTAATCAGGTATGCGTCTCAACCCAAATAACCAACCGTCACAATGTTGTTTATTCTTGATGACGTCCAGTAGATCCTTTTTAGTTCCTAGGAGCTAAAGTTCAACTTTAGCTCCTAGGAACTAAAATTCAACTTTAGCTCCTTGGAACTAAATATGTTGCCTAGCAACATACCTATTTTTGTGTCAGTAATAGAAACGTCAATTTAAGAGCTAATTCTGGTATCAAAATGGACGACTTTTGTGTCGGTTGCAGAAAAAATAACATAATGGCTTGCCAAATGGAACACAACGCAAAACAACACTTAAAAAAAAACAGTACCTACATTACAACGTCTAGCATGGGGTTGACCAGCAGGACTGAAGTCGTCTCCCCGGCGATCATTTAAAATTGATAATTACTATTGACTTGTATTAATAATGATAATGTCTCATCGACTCGGGTACTATTTATATTCGGAATTGATGCTAGGTTTGCAATTTTCCGCAATGGGAATGGCCATTACCTTTCGATATTGCTTACCTATATATTATCGCACGGTACGCGGTTTTGCAAATACTACAGAAACTGAAGGCTATGGACTTCGCTGACCTGATCGAAACTACACTGTACTGGACGTTTTGATTTGGAAAAGTTAATTTATAATTATTAAAGGTCTTGAAATTAAGGCGAGTTTGAGTGATGTTATTCCATAAGCATTTATACTTCTTGACAATATTTCCGGAAATACTTACGCAGGCATCATTGCCGTTTTATGTATATATGTTTTCGTGACGAACCCTTTGAAAAACTTTGGAATTGTCCGAGAGTGGAAGGTATAATTCGAACCGGGTCTTGGACTATTATAGGCGAGATAAGGAAACAAAAATAGAGATGAAAAAATAATGAATAATCTCTACTTGATTTACTTTCAGGGGGATAATTTTCGAGATGAAGCTGAGAATCAAACAAGAGCTGTGGATAATGTAAATAAGTTGATGGATGATTGGGAAGAAGAGGAAGAGGAGGAAAAAAAGGATGCTGAATAAAAATGATATATTTTGTGTATATAGCAGGTGATAAGAATGTTTGGACAATGGAAGGATCTGCAACGTCTAACTTTTGTTGAGTTGAAAACTATTTAATCATCATCCTCCAGGTTTTTACAAGTGATTTAATCATTTTGAACAATATAATTATCAACAGTAATTATAAAAGTGGTGGTAAAATCCCACTCCTGGTCTTCGTCCACTCGTGAGATTTCTATAGCAGCAAAGATTCGTGCATCTAGTTAAAATTATTAAAAAATGACCACCAAGAATGTAATTCACCATGAATATTTTTTCAACTTTTTCAACAATATATGGGCCCCTTTATGTATCCATTCAAATGTGAAAAATTTATCATATTGAATTTATTATTTACAAACGAACTGAAGCAATTGTTAAATCAAATGTGACTATACAATGTGACACAGACTCATGGTTCACACCACACTCCCTTTTTTACTATTTCGCTATTTTTTTGAAAAATTGAATTTGCACATTTTGACATTAAAATTTCTTTACTTGTGGGTTTTCCTGAAAAAATTCGTCGAATTTCGATTTTTAAATAGAACTTCCTGTATATATCATTCAGTTTCTGCTAGTCTGAAATACAAGAATACGGAGTTTCATCAAAATGTGATGTACAAATTGGTCAAATTGGAAACTTTCAAAGGATAATATAAATGAGAGCTGATGTTATTGCCTGAGGGTAATTTTTTATGTGGAACTCAATTCAACACATTATAATATCTCTATTATTTTTTTAGGTGTATGAAACTCAATTATTTGCAAGTATTTCAATATTTCATGAAACAATTTCCTAAGGTTGGAATTGTTATGAAAACATAAAAATGTTGCAAAAATAGAATCGGCCTTTCAAGAATATACATATTCAAAAAACATCTTGTAACTATGAAACGATGGTAGATATCATTATGCGGATTTCATCATTGAGTTTGTCATAAAAATTATACCTCTGGCAAATTTTTTGTTATCTCAATCAATCTATCCGGTTCTTTGTTGATGTCAATTTTGGTATCGGAACTTGTAAATTTCAACACTTCATTGTATTCTAGCAGTTTGAGGCTGTTTGGTTCTTCTACGTGCTGTGATATAAGTTATAATTTTCGCTGCCTCGGCTGGATATAATTCGGAACGATTCACTATTGCATCCCAATTAACAGTGTTTCTCTTGAGGTGGCGTATAAAATCAGTAACAAAACCTACACTGATCACAAGGGCTGAAGGTCGATAACCAGTTGCTGTGTAAATAAACCAACTAAATACATTTCATTTAGGCGTAATCAAGGTCGTTGTTGAAATGTAGGACGCTGAAGTTGACACTTTTTTCAACGAAAATCTTGGAAATTTCAATATTGTTGATAGGACAAAGCTCTGAGATGTTGAAGGTATATTGTATGCATTGACAGCAAGTGACTTGCATGGTGGAACATATTTTGAGTATTGGATAGAATTTTTTTTTAGATTGCTACTGACCAGATTTCAATACATTTCTCAGTACCACTTCTCAACACATAAATATTATTCTTCCTGACATATCTCAATGTTCAATTTGGTTTGCAAGATGATTTTTGATAATTTTCAATTTGATTGAATTTTAAATGATAATTTAATGTCGTTTGGAATCATTGAATTCTCGCAGGTTTATACTGATTTTTCTCATCATTAGTTTTTGATTAATAATGCAGTACTTGGCATGAATTTCTTCAGATATCGTGATTCAGGGTGGCCTAGTTATGTGTTTCTTATACACAGCTACAAAAAATTACTCATGAAACTACATTGATGAAAATAATTTACCTTTAATTGAAATTTTTATACTACTATGAGTAAAGAGTGAGATTTATTTTTGGGGTTTTTCACACAGAATACATGTTGAAGCATATTTACATATTTTTTCTATTAAATTGAATCAGGTTGATGGATCTACGACTATTTACAATGATGCTCCATTGCCAGGAAATTATTAGCGTGTAAGGGATCATTATCAAAAAAAAAATATTCCACCAACAATTTCTGTCGAGTGCATATTGTATACAGTGTGGAAACCTATGACTGAATAAAACCCGTATTTTCCAAACAAAAACATATTTTGAAAAATCCTCGGACAGGTCGATTTCTATTTTTAAAAATCTATTCATATAATATGTGGAAAAATATTCATCACCGGATATAGACAACATATTTCTGAGAATAAGCTAGTGTCATATATAAAAAATTGTCGATATGATGACCAATTTTCCACAGATGAGAAGCAGAAACCTGCTAGAATTCAATAAATACAAATGAGTTTGAATTGCATCGAATTGAATTCAATCAAATATCTTGTAAAACAAAAACGAAATAACAGAAGTAACCAGCCCTCCTTATATTTAGCAATGGAATAGTAGAATTGTGAAATGGTTTGAAATCGTCAGCGGGGTAATAGAAATTATTCCATGAATGTTATTAACAGTATTCAAAATGTGTTTCAACCTATATGTCGATTGAAATGTTATGATATGTATTAATGGACACCAATCACTTCATATACCTACAAAATCTTAGATCTATATGTATCAACACTATCGAAATATTCATTATTCCAAATTTTTTGGGATTTTCTCTCCTCGTTTCTATAAAATAAAAATATGAATATTATTTCAATATACGTGTGGTAAGGACAAATCAGATGATTTGCCCCAAAATGTCACTGCGTTTAAAGAATTTTCCTATCAGAGAGCCTAAAAGAAAAATTCACTAGCTTGTCAGTGACAATTTGTATTGAAAAAATTTTTGGAGAAAGGAAATAAAGGTATATAGAAAAAATATCAAATTTTCACTTATCTTTGGAGGTTTCGGGACCGGTTCTGCTCCCGTTTTCAACATGAGAAGTGAAAATTTGATATTTTTTCTATATACCTTTATTTCCTTTCTCCAAAAATTTTTTCAATACAAATTGTCACTGACAAGCTAGTGAATTTTTCTTTTAGGCTCTCTGATAGGAAAATTCTTTAAACGCAGTGACATTTTGGGGCAAATCATCTGATTTGTCCTTACTACACGTATACAGAAATAATATTCATATTTTTATTTTATAGAAACGAGGAGAGAAAATCCCAAAAAATTTGGAATAATGAATATACCACCTCCTCGATTAACCTACAGACAGTATTTACTATCGAAATATTTCAGATTCTCGTTGAAAAAATGGAGATTTCAACGCCATATATTTTGATAAGGAATCATTTGAGCATATACAGAGAAGTGCACAATGAACGGCTAGTGCTGAAACTTCTGAATCATTTGAGATCGGATTTTGAAAATATACCACCAATTTTCGAAATCTGATCTGGAATGATTCAGAAGATACAGCACTGGCCGTTTTTTGTGCGCTTCTCTGTATGTTCATAGAAAGAGATGGTCGTATCTCATTGAGCCCTATCAATCCCTTTTATTATCAATAAGGGGCTTACACCGTCCAACTGAGACAAGAGTACTATAAAAAAATTGAGTTTTCAATTAGAATAACAACTACGAAATAACCACAATGCTCACAGTGGAATGAAATGATAAATAAATGTAAAAAGCTCAAAGTCATCCCCACACCGTGTTCATAAAATGAACAACAATGTTAGATTTCGGGGGAAAAACAACTACTTCCCTGGCTAATGCCACGCAGGATATTGAATTACATCCTCCTGAAATCTATGCATCGACTCGTTTAAACGAATACTGATACAAGTGATTCTTTCCTGAATGCCTATTGATTTCGATTAAGCCAGGCCGCTAGACAACCACAGACCGGTTTCGAGCTCTTTGACTCTGATGCATAGATTTCAGGAGGATGTAATTCAATATCCTGCGTGGCATTAGCCAGGGAAGTAGTTGTTTTTCTCCCGAAATCTACCATTGTTGTTCATTTTATGAACACTGTGTGGAAATGACTGAGCTTTTTACATTTATTTATCATTTCATTCCACTGTGAGCATTGTGGCTATTTCGTAGTTGTTATTACGCCAGTCGGGCTGCCAGCCACTCCCGTATGAGAATTTCAGTTTTGGAGTGATTCTTTCCTCGGTTCTACTCAGATGGCGTTACTTTCATTTTATCGATGAAAGACGCCTCGGGGTGGATATAATGCCAACTTGATTTTTGTTTGGCTAGGCTTCGCTGAGTCGGCGGTCTTAGGACTGCTGGCTGGAGAATACTCTGCTCTGATGAAAGTCAAAGAGCTCGAAACCGGTCTGTGGTTGTCTAGCGGCCTGGCTTAATCAAAATCAATAGGCATTCAGGAAAGAATCACTTGTATCAGTATTCGTTTAAACGAGTCGATGCATAGATTTCAGGAGAATGTAATTCAATATCCTGCGTGGCATCAGCCAGGGAAGTAGTTGTTTTTCTCCCGAACCATTGTTGTTCATTTTATGAACACTGTGTGGAAATGACTTTGAGCTTTTTACATTTATTTAATTAGAATAACGTTTCGGTCTACTTTTTCGCATATATTTTGAACTCTTTATATCGAAATTGTGCTTGTTAATCCAGCAAACGGTATCAAAATACGCCATTTCCTTGCAACAAATCCAGTAGTCGGTTTTATCATTTCCTATGTTTTTAGGGTTGCGAAACACGAATTTTCCAACAAAAGGATCCCCACCATTTATTGCGAAAATCTAGGATTAGATAGATTACATGTTGAACAATCGTTATTTATTATAAAAGTATTAGATTTTAGCTCGAGGTTGTGTTGTCTTTCGACGCGTGGCGAAGGGAAACAAAAAACCGAGAGCTGCATCCATTGCTGCACTGCACATAAATGCACAGGGTGTGCTGCAACTCTGCTTAGCAGTGGCGGCTCGTGATCCTTTCAACACGGAAGCCTGAATGGGAAGTGTTGATGTGAAATTCTACAGCAACAAAAAAAACTACGACACTTATAAAGTTCTTGTTCATAGAAAAGAGGCGCTGATATCGTCATACTTTCAATGGCCATCGGACCAAATAACTTACGACAAAGTTTAAGTATAGGTTCATTTTGATAGTGTCTAATAAAATTCTGATAATTGAGTATCTATCTCCATTTCAATTTTATTAGAATAGAATTAGATGTAATAAGATCCTTGTATGGCGAGTTTCAACTTTGAATTGCCGTGAAGTTTGGGCAAAACAAAAGCGCATCATATAAATATCTCAATTACTCGTGCTCCCTCGCGATTCTGGCGAATTTCATTGGTCAGAGGCTGCTTTCCGTT